GTGCGGGGGCAGGACAACACAATCTGAACACAAAAAGCAGTTCCAATGAAATTCGTTTTCGATCTAGAAGACTTAAAAGTGCATAACTCCAGTGGCGTTCACGAACATCGGAAGAGCGTTCCAGACGGCCACAGAATCGCATCTGAAAGCACGCGACGCGGTGACCGTCTTTGTTCGATGGACAGCCAAAAGCCGCTTGCTGCTGCGAGGATGAGCGGAGTTCACGCGATGATGGTTTATGTTCCTTGACGAGATCAGGAAGGTACCGTGGATCATCCGTGGCAAGCGCTTCGTGCGTAACGAGTGCGAAGTCACGCGTCGGCTCTGCAACGTTGGATTGAGCGGAAGGTGAGGTGAGGTGTGGTGTCATCAAACAACATTGGGCGAGATGTCCTCTTGACCACGACCCTGACCTGACGAGGGAGTGCAGCGGGGGGGCAGCCAGACCACACCACCCGCCCCCACAGCTGCCCTGCTGTGTCATCAAAACCGAAATTCCGTAAGTTGCAGGACGACTCGCGCACGGCTAAATCACCCTGTGGGCGGAGACAAGTTGAAAACACCAGAGGTGTAGGCCCTGAAGGCTGCAAGCGAACGTTCGGGTCACGAACACAGCATGGCACCCCCCCCCCCCCCACAGCTCCGAGGATGAGGCCGCGAGGCGTGGAGAGAGTTCCCATCGTGCCACACGATAAACAGTGGAATTACAGCGGTGCCGCGTGCCAGCGCAAATAAAACACTCATGGTGGTTGGTGGTGGGGAGGGGAAGTGAGGAGGTCATCGTCTCTGAAGCCTGGGATCCGCGGCAGGGCTCCATTCTGCTGCCAAATACATTGTTTGCCAAGGGCTCTTTTACTCTGATTGAGGCCAGTTGGGGTTGGGAAGGATAAAAACATAAAAGAAAAACGAAACGCATGAAATGGGGATCTCAAATTTGAACCAACAAAGTATTTGCGCTTCAGCCCCAAAAAAAAAATCGATTGCAGTTTAAGACATTTCCACTCATGACTACTCGTAGAATAGAATGGAATAGACGTGGGCAGTCGTTAATGCGGACAAGCCGTCTGCATTTGAAGAGTTTGGTTGAACGTTAATGCAACGTTATTTGCCGAGATTATCGGGCGGTGGGTGGCCAAGGCCGAGCGCTGAAAAAGCCCCCACGCCGCCGTCTCTCCAAACTCTGACCCACAATCTGTGCTCGCGGATTTGTTCCCGAAAAGGCGCAGGAGCCACAGACAAGCCACGGGTTTGGTGAATGCAAAGCAGCTGCCTGGAGGAAAAAAAGTAGGCAAGCGAAGAGGAGTCAGCTTAGCGAAGGGGAGAAGACGGAGAAGAGGTTACGCAATGCTGCTGCTCCGATGAACGGAGCAGCAGTTCAAACTTAAACAAATAAAACTATTTACATTTTTTTACCAGGTAAGGCCCACTGAGATATGCAGTTCTTTTGCAGACACAAGCTGAGCTATCACAAATGATAGCTCAGCGAGGTGGCTTACTTCGTGTGGACGTTTATAGCAGCCAAATACTCGAAACGCGTGTTTCTGGATGTGGAGGGGGGGGAACTGGAGGGCCCGGGGGGAAAATCCACACGACCACGGGGAAGAGAGAACACGCAAACTCCAAATACACTGCAGGCGTCAGGGTCGGGGTTGAACCCACGACCTCCTGCACACCAGGCGAGGTAGTAAACATCTCGCCACCGCAAACACGTGGGGTTGTCACGGTGCAGATTGATCACGGGGTGGGTTGGCGTGGGGGGGGAATGTCTTCCCAGTGCCAGAAGAGCAGAGAGTAACATTGCAGTCAGATGCCGACCCTCGCCTGCATACCAGATGAAGACATAGCGTGGCGCCCGGTGTTGAGGTTACTTCTTCGAATCCACGAAGGTACAATGTGACCTCCGCACGCCGACGCGCGCGCCTGCGAACAATCTTGCGGGAGGTTGCCGTGCCAGGTCAACGTCGTGGTAACAAGCGGGGGAGCGGAGACGTCCGCTGGACACTCTCCGAGATTAAAGGGGGAGCGAGCTGGGCGTTGTGGGCGACAATGGGTGCATGCCCCTGGCTCGGTAAGAAATCCTTTTAAGAAAACTTCTTTCCAAAAATCACTGCATTCAACATTACACAATTGATTTCCCTCTCTGTCTTGGCGGCATCAAATACCCTTTCAAACAAAAAAAAGCTGTCCATATGAAACGTGATCGACGGAATATATTGATAAAGTGTAAAAGAGCACAAAGGGTTGTAGAATAAAATTGACGTCCAAGTCTTTGAATAGCTCTCTTGGAAAAGAACGACCCTTCTTTGTAGTGCCTAATCATCGGCGCTTTGATTAACCACATTTTCTTTAGCATTGTTAGAATTTTTGCGCTGACCATGGAGTCATGCTGACGAGGAACAATCGAGGCTCGTGCTGTGTACTTCCGCAGAAATCCAAATTCCTCTTGTGCTGGAGCAATTTTGTATGAAAGTGTTTACAAAACAAGGTTCAACCCTCAAATTGATGAAAACAGAAGTGCAGGTTTGCGGTTTTTTTTGTGCAATGAAATAAGACCAACTGAACTCTGCAGCACTGAAATGGATCTCAATTTTGCAGTCTGGCCCGAAAAAACACAAAATCATCACCGCAATTATCTGGAGCACTCCCTCCACAAATCTTCAATCGGGTTTTTATCATCAGCACGTGTTCCATTTGACCGATGGTAAAGCTACGATCCCCCGTTGGGATCAAAGGTTGGGATCAAAGGGAGTGTAAAAAAATGAAAGCCTGATATTATCCAAAACAAATGGATACAAAAAAAAACCACAGCATATGCTGCGCATCCTTCCTACTGCTCGAAAGCTCATCCGTGCTGCTCCTCCCATAGCTTTTCTCACCCTTCTCCGCGTTGTAAAATTTTAAACGCTGTCGGATTTTATTCGCCGTCTTTAGATGGGGGGTGGGGACGGGCCGTTACTTCCGGCTGGGTGCCTCAGCGCCCCGATGTGTCCGTGTCTCTGTACGGCTCTGCTCAGCCGGATTAACGCGAGCTGGCAGCAACGTATAAATGGGTCTTATACATATTCTTGGTTCTTTCGGTAAAGTCACGTAGGTAGAATTTTTTTTAAATATAACAGCAAAAAAACACAATAAAAAACAGTAATAATAAAATAAATTGGAAATAATGAAAGCCAAAAAAACACAATAAAAATAGTAAAAATTAAATAAATTGAAAATAATAAACGCAAAAAAAAAACCCACGGGTCTTATAATTTTACTTTTGGGTTTGTTTGGTGGGTGCGTTGGCAGGCGGCGCTGGCGGTCGGCCGCGGGTCGCTCGTTCGACAATAAAATTGTTACACAGTCAGCGGTTGGAAGGTTAACAGTTCCATCACTTTGAAAAAAAAAAGTGCCGAGCAGGAGAAAAAGTCTCCCTCCCCCCGTACTGAAAAACTTCAGCAACGACTACGTAATAATTGTCCAGATCACAGTGGTGTAAAAAAACTAAAAAAAATAAGTCAATGAAGTAAAAAAAAACACACACACACGTATATGTGTATACAAATATCCCACGCATACGCTTTAGCATAATTTTGGGGGAAGTTCTGTTAGCGAGCACCTATCAAGGCCAGCATGTCACGAGGGGGGAGGGGGGGGGGTGGCCAGCATCACTCCCGACCGCCTTTGTCTCCCTAGTGGGCGATGTTTGCGCTTGAAGCTGAATTGACCTAGTGAAGGCCCAGGACTGGTTCAGATAATCGTCATTGGTGTTGGCCACGAGTGGAGATCAAACTTGGTTCGATGGGTTCTTAACGCAGCGAGCTAACCGCTTTGCTTTTTCCGCTCCCCAGAGCGTGCATGTATGCATGTGTACACACAGACACAGAAATCCCCTGTTAGGTACTAGAGAGCGTGGGAGGGAAACTCTGTTCGTGATTGCAATGTTAAGCCATTGAGAGATGGTGTGGGCAGCAAAAAATCATGCCCATTCACATTTTTCCTCAGTACTGACACCTCGTTCCGTATTTAATTTAAGGCCAAATTCGAACTAAAGAAGGACAAACCAGATTCAAACAACCAATTGCCACTCATTTTGATTATCACGGCCAAGACTTGAGCTCTACACACAACGCAACGCGATAACCACGACGCGACAAAGAGGGCTCCCCGCTTGGACATTGCGGGCCATTGGATTAAGCGCTGTTAAGTGTCCGCAAGGGGATGGTGTTGCCGGTAACAAACCCGGCCACCTACGTTTGCACACAGCTGATGTTAACCTAACCGCACTTTAGATGTCCCCATTTCATGTCAAGTTGACCTAGGAGACGTTTTGGATGTCATCCGATGAGTTTGGCCGCGAATCAAAGTCACCAAGCAACGAAGCGCCAGCGTACAAACTATTGCAATTCCCCACACGACGACACACACACAAAACATCTGCAGCGTTACAAAACTCTAATGACGAGGCATTCCAATGAGGCACTCGTTCAAAAAGATTCCTTCCGCTCACAACACAGCAAGTGAATCGCGCATGTAAGAACTGTTTGATGACAATTCATGTAAACGATAGTCAAATGTCACATTTGAGCTGACGGAGCAAAACACGACTGCTCAAACAAGACAAAACGTAGCAACAACTGAGACGGACCATGTTTGGTTTTCCTTGTTTCTTGAATCGAAGAGCGATCCAGAATCTTGACGAGTCGTCAAATAAGTAAGACACTGAATAGATTTAAAGCTTTCGTGACTGCTAGGATCCATACTCTTTGGTTCTATTGGGTAAAGTCACGTAGGTGAAAATAAAATAACAAAAAATCACGACGTTTCGGCCACAACACAAGCGGCCTTCATCAGGTGAAGGGACGAAACTGTCTGGAGGACAGCGCTGGAGTGAGAACAAAAAATCACGACGTTTCGGCCACAACACAAGCGGCCTTCATCAGGTGAAGGGACGAGACTGTCTGGAGGACAGCGCTCGTCCCTTCACCTGATGAAGGCCACTTGTGTCGTGGCCGAAACGTCGTGATTTTTTGTTATTTTATTTTCACCTACGTGACTTTACCCAATAGAACCAAAGAGTAAACACACTGAATAGTTTACGCACCCAGTGAAAGACTATATATATATATACACACACACATCATCCCCCCCCCCCCCCATTCAGAGTACCAATGGTAAACATTGGCCAGAGTGCCAATCGGTGGTGGACCCGATGACAGCCTGAGGTGGGATGTGCGATGGTCCTATCGCTCTGACCAAGCTCCAAGCCTCAGGGGATGTGATTCGGCGGCACGCGCTCGCGACAGCAGTCACAGGTCTTGCTGCAGTTCCGTCAAGGCGGCCGTGAGACGCCGTATCTTCTCCTCGGTGGACTTCTTACCGCTGGCGGTCTCGCGCAGCAAAGCGCGCATCTCCTCCTCCACCCTCTGGACCTGTGAGAGAGAGAGAGAGAGGGGGGAGAGAAACAAAACCCCCCACAAAACACAGGGATGACAAATCATGCGTACCGAAATTACGCCACCACTACCATAACTATACAGCGCCACTTTTATTAACCCAACTCGTTATCTCAACCCACTGTCATCTAATGTCCAATTTTATAATTGCTGTAAAGCACCTTGGAGGGAGGCATTATATAAATGTACATAGGATGAGATTCTGCAACGATTGCCAACACGCGTTTGTCCGCGGAAGCGTTTAGCGATATTACCGCGAAGTTCCGTGCCGCACAACGAAATTACGTCACATGACGTATGACGTCATGAGATGAAACAGGATTGATAACGGTTTGCTTTTGATATCGGGATCCTGTACACCAGGGTATCTCAGAGCAATTTACATCACATTTCATCTTAAACATTTCAAAGAACGCTTCCCCCAGTGGCAGCTCTCTCTCTCTCTGAGCAACAGGGTGACTCCTGGCCTGCAATCGGGCATTCGTCTGCCAGTAGGGGGCGATGATTGCGACGTACAGTCCCAATTGAGCAATTCAGTTCATTTTCGAGTTGGGCAAATTATGGACGTCAAGGGGAGGCCTGGCGCGTGCAATCATTGCCTTTGCAGAAAAGGCTCGTTCTTTTAGCGCTATTTCATTTTTACCAGCAAGTTTTGGGCAACCTCTTGATCCATTTGGTCAGTTTTACACAGGCGAAGTTTCCTAATGGTAACAGCCGCTGGTGATCGTGACCCACCGCTACAGACACACGGACGAACAGGTCTCATGCATCAATGCATTCAACCAAAGTTTGAAAGCGTAAACAAAAAAAAATCCCAACACGCGGAGATGGCGGGGAGGTGTGACGGCGGTGGCAGCTGTTGTCTCGAATCACCGCGGCCGTCCCCAACGGAGGAGGCGGCGAGTCAAAGGCGTTCCTCGCACGCGCATTATGTATCTTGCGTCGGACGCCTGCGCAGTCCATCAGGGTGAAGGTCGGGATTGGTGGATCGTGGTTCTCGATTCACGTGCTCGCTCAAGGTTCCACTTGGAGAGGCAAAGGCGGCCGCGAGACAGGCACGTCTCCTCCTCCGTCGACTTGTCGCCGCCGGCTGTCTGACGCGGCAAAGGGCGGCCATCTCCTCCTACGCGCATCGCCCGCCTCTTTTTTTATTTTTCGTCTAGTTAGCCGTCCTTCCCCGGCACCTCCGATTAGCACGGCTGGCAACGTACGGTGCGAGAGAAGTTCAGCATGCTTACGTATACATACACGAACGGTCTCCGCGGCTAAACGGAGGGGCGGGGGGGGGGAACGTTCGTACCGAGAGATTGGCGGCCTCCACCTGGCGCTGTCTGTCTGTGGACACGCGCGCCAGCTCGGCCTGGTGTGCGGCGTGGGTGCTCTCCAGCTGGCGCCGGAAGGCGTCATCGGCCTCTCGAAGCTTCGCGAGGGCCGCCCTGGCGACCGTGCAAGCCGCCGAGAAGAAAAACAAAGTTGCGAACAGAAACATTTACGTGTGTAGTCGACTGTCAATTACCTGGAGTAATGGGGGGCGGGCCCACGGCTGATACCCTCGGTTCGAACACAGGCTGCGATCAAACCGGGTTCCCGAGTGTAGCGCGTTGATGGTCACAGTCTGGACACCCAAGGATTGCACAAATACCCATCGCGGTGATTTTAGTTTCGCACTTAATGTGGCTAAGTTGCGGCTTCCATAATGAAAAATATTGGTTTCACCATCACGTGACGATACATTACTCTCAGTGGCGGAGCGTGTTGGAGAGTGCTGCTCCCTACTTGTGAGGAACGGAAGTCACTTAAAGGCATCTCACAGGTAGGTCTGTGATATCCGCTTCCATCAAAGGGTTGCACTGCTCTGCTTCCTTCTCCCCCACGTGTGTGGGGTCGGATGGCTCAGATTTCCTCCGTCCATGTGCTTCTATCTTGTGCATCATCTCTCGTCGCATCCATCGGCGTCCTCTGATCTCGCTCCACCGCATCCTCCCATCTCACCCTCGGTCTCCCTCTCCTCCTCCTGCCCTACACCCGTGGCATCTCCCCCCCCCCAACCCCAAGCCTTCTTTGTCTCTTGTCAACACGTGCCCAAACTATTTAAGCCCTAGCTCCCTTGTCTTCTCAACAATAGTCGTAACCACCTCTAAAGGCTCTGAAGGTCTTCATGGCATCACCTTTCCTTGCACCGTGAGAGACCCAACATTGATATTTAATCTCATGGCATGGTGCCAAAAAGACTATTGAGATACATCTGGAAGAAATTACGTGTATATTTTTATTATTTATGTCACCGGCAGCAACAAAGAAAGGATCCCCCGTATAGCCTATCAAGGCAAGCATGGCATACGAAGGGGGGGGGGTGGGTGGCCAGCACCCCGCCCGACCACCTTTGTCTTCCCAGTGGCGATGTTTACACACCGCACCAGGAACTCATTTGAGGCCGAGTCAACATAGGGGAGGCCCAGGACCGGTTCAAATAATCGTCTTACCGGTGTTGCCCGTGAGCGGGAACCGAAACGGGGCGGCCGGATTCGTGGCGCAGTGAGCCGACCGTGACACTACCGGCTCCCCAGTACCAACCCACACACACACGCACGCACACGCGCACACGCACGTACTTGTGCGCTTTGATCGCCTGGTCCCTCTCCTGCTGGAGCCGAGCCTCCTTGGCGTCGAAGCCCTCCTTCATCTGCCGCACTTGGCCCTCGAGCCGCGACAGCAGCTGAGCCTTCTCGCTCCACTTGCGGTTGGTCGCCCTGCCGACCGGCGGCACAGACGCGACGGGCGTGGGGGGTGGGGGGAAGAGGAGACGCAGTGAGCGAGGCCAAGTCCGACGGACGTGCGTTTGGCAGCGCCGATCGGAAGTCGAGCCGGGGCGGGCATGGGGGACGCCGAGCGGATTTTCCTCCCGTCTGCTTGTGGGAATTAAATTCCTCCTCGTGATAGCGTTCCTTATAACTATGACTAAATCACCACCACCAAACCCCCCCATTCCCACCAACCCCATCCCCCCCATCCCCGATCTCGCCAGACCTGGGAAGGTTAGCAGGACAGAGCCTGGGTAGTGCTTGGATGGGACCCACTGCCATGCATTTAGTAGATTGTTATAGGCATCTGCGGGCGCTACGTACGCATGTTGAACTTCTTTCGTGCTTATCGGAGGTCGTGGGCAGCATAGGGCGCAGTGTGCCAACATCCATCGTTGCACTCTATTGTTATTGATAATAATAATAATAATTTATTTATCCGGAAGTACCACGCCGAGTCGCAGGCGGGTCCTGCTGCGACACTGGGGTTTTTATTTTTAGATCTTTTTGAGCCAATTGATGATGACTGCTCATACGCGTGAGAGAAAACCGGAGCGCCGGGAAACGACCACTTGTCCGTTTCTGCTTTTTAGCCTTCCTCCAGCCGAAGGTTGACCACGAGATGGACTGGCCGATGCCACAGGGGCTCTGTCATCAGCAGGACAGGTTTCCCTCGCCCTATGCCGGTTCGCTTTGCGCGATTTCGCGTCTATGCGGCCAACCTATTTCTACGCAAAAAAATCGCAATATCGTGCGTTTTGAGTTTACTCTACACGGAGCTATGCGGGCCGGACGTGGGACGACATTGTGAGTGTACGCTGTGTGTGCACTGTGTGTAGTGTGTGTGTGCTGTGTGCTGTGTGTGTACTGTGTGTGCAGTATGCGTGTAGGACGCGTGTACTGTGTGCGTGCTGTGTGTGTACGTGACTCGGCAGGCTGTCTCTTCGCGCGGTTTCGCTTTGCGTGCCCTTTTGTTGGCACAAAAGCCGAAGAACGGTGCTGAATGCAACCACCCACATTAGCAAATGCAACTTTGATCCTTACCCGTGTATCGACAGTTACATTTTAATGTGCAACGTTACTGAGGGACTACTGTGCGTTGCTTTGGTGTGGCCTGGGACTCTTTGTTGTTTTTGCGGCCTTGCCCAAGCTTGCATTATGCGTGAGACAAATCAGCAGGAATGCATGTACTTGTGCGAGTTGTACTCACGTAATTGATTTACCGATAGGCTTCATTTATTTCTCGTGACCTGCTCACCCTTTTACCGTTGTTGCTGCTGCTGCTTCTGCGAGTCGCTGAAAACTCCCGACGCCTAGTGGGGCCATCTGTGCAAAAAGGAGCTTTCGCAGCTCAAATCGGATTTCTCCTCCGGTCGAAATAAAGGTTTCCCCCCCCCTCCCCCCCCGATTCGGGAACGCATCCTCCGGAAACAAAGCGAGGGGAAAAACTTGCACTTGCAAGTTGTCCAGTAGGCAGCCCCTTGTCCACGCAACGGCACCGACAATCCAAGCTCCCCTGGGTCAGCCTCGCTTTCCCGGGACCGAGCGTTGAGGGCGCCACGGTGGCGAGACGTGAACTACCTCGGCCTGGTATACAGGAGGTTGCGGGTTCGATCCCGGCCCTGACGCTTGGAAATTTGGAGTTTGCGTGTTCTTCCCGTGGCGGCGTGGATTTTTCCTCCCACATTTAGAATCAACGTCGCGCGTTCAGAGAGGATTTGGCTGCTCGAAATTTCCACGTGATAAGCCCACTTCGTCGAGTTATCATTTGCGGTTGGCAGGTCGCTTCTGAAAAAGATTTACATATAGCTCAGTGGGGGCCTTACATGATAAAATAGTTTAGTTTATAGCTTAGTTTTGAGTTACCATCTTTCTCTACCCCGGCAGCCTCCGCGTTTCCGCAAAACGTGTCCCAGGAGACATCTCTCTCGTCTTGATCGACTCAACGAAGCCCGTTTCATCAACGATTGATTCACTTGTCTGGCGCGGGGCTCTCCAGAGAATCCTCGGCAATGCAGAGGAGGGTACTTTCAACTTCAAGGCCTCGAGATCCTCATTTCTTCATCTTTCCTGAGCGAGGAATCCCTTGCGTCCATACAAAGCTACCCACCACACAAGTGCTTGTGTAACAATTGTAATAACAGCAGGAGCAACAACACCCGCCATCTAACCAAGGTAAAAAAATCCTCAATGATTCTCAAGGCAATTTCAGGAGGGTTCTGAATTGGAGCGTTTGAACATTTCCTCTAATTATTGTGAGGGGCATGGAAGGGTTGATGAAGGGGGGTGTGTGGGAACGTGGGTGGAGGGGGGGGGGCGTGGGAAGGCGAGGGAGGGGGGTGATCCGACACGCTATCACAGCCCCCGCGTGATGGCCCGCTCGCCCCCTTGCCCGCCTGCCCACGCGCTTGCCAGCTCACTCACTCGTGCTCACGCGTGGCTCGTCCCAGCCGGTCGCGCGCCTCCTCCAGCTCCAGCTCCAGCTGCTCCTTGCGGTCGTCCAGGCGCTCGACACGCTCCTGCAGCTCCCGGCCGGCGGCCGTCTGCTCCGCCAGACGCGACTCCATCTCCCGCCGGGCGGCCAGACTCTCGTCCCGCGCGCGCCGCACCGTCTCGTCCCGCTCTTGCAGGCCCTGCCGGAATTGGGCAGGGCGGAGGGAGAGGAAAACGGACGACCGATCGGTGACCTTTCCTTCAGGGCTGGGTAGGACACTCTCTGACGGGAAGTTCGATGTCGGGAGTGAGGCCAGGTGGTTCAAGAGGTCAGAGGGCTCAGCTGGCACCGCTGAGAGTTCTGAGGTTTCGGTGGACCTGGCAGCGACCTTGGTTTATGTGACAGGCAGTTTGACAGGAAACATCAATGTTGTTTGTGGCCGGGTGGCAAATATGGGTTTTTTTGAACATCACTGTCATCAGCCATGATCAGCTGACTGCTGGATGCAGGCCTCCCCGAGCTGTTACCCCTGGTAATTAAAGCGGTATGGCGTAGGCCTGGTGGCTCAGAGGTCACAATGCTGAGTTGGCATCGCTAAGATCCTGTGTACGATTCCACGTTTTCAGCCACCTGTGATTAACCGAGGCTCTCAAGTGTAGCGAGTTAACGATGTCAGGCCCATCACTAATGACTGCACGATAAAACTCCTCTCCCCCCCCCCCCACTCCCCTTCACATCCAATTTCTCTTTGCAATTAACACAGATAAAATCCCAGCTCTGAGAATTAAAAAAATATCACGTTTCACTGTCATGCAATTCCAAACGAATTAGCGCAGGAGAAAGACAACCGGGCACTGAGAGGGGATGATGAGCTCCCAGCAGGTTCGAGTGGAAGGGGGGGGGGGGGAGGCTGCTTTTATCTCCTGGTACGCGCTGTGCCACCATTACGTACCAGATGCCGCGTCTTTCATGCTCGCGACGAGTGCAGCGTCGCGGCTGTCGCAGGGGCGGCGCACCGAGCAGAGAGAGACCCAGAGGCTGTCGCAACGTACGCACGTACGTACGTACGTGTGTGTGCATGTATGCACGTGTGTTGAACTTCTTTCGCGCCGTGTGTAGCCGACCGTGCCGATCGGAGGTGCGGGAGGGAAGAGCGAGAAACCGAACACAAAGAGCAGCTCTAAAAGAAATGAGTTTGTCACTCGAGATGATATAAAAGTGCACAGCTCCGGTGGCTTCCTAACATCAGAAGGAAGAGCGTTCCAGACGGCCGCAGAAGCGCATCTGAAAGCGCGCGATGCGGTGACCTATTTGTTCGATGGCCAGTCAAAAGGCGCTACCCGCGAGGATGACAAGAGTTAGCGCGATGGTTTACGCTCCTTGACGGGATCAGCGAGGCGTTGTGGTTCATTTGCGTCAAGCACTTCGTGTGCAACGAGCGGCAACCTCCTCACACGTATTCGTCCAGCAGCCAAAGCAGCTCAGCGAGCACTGGGACAGACACGGTCGGATCTCGCAGTGCCCCGTCACGGCACGCGGCTGAAGCGACGAGGGGATCGGCTCCAGCCGAGGCAAATCGCGCGATTCTAGGAACGCTTACTTTTGCCTTCTATTTTAAATGCTGGTTATTCGCTTGTTTTTTCATTCGAGTGAAGGCTTTCATAAAAAGCATGAAAACGTTTTTCAAACGTTATTTATCCGCGCATCGCTATCAATACGACAGACGGTTACTGCCGACTGATTTATCGCCAGTGTTGTGGTCATGCTGCCGCAGTGGTGAAATGGTGAGCGCACTGGGGGCTTGCGATCCAGAAGTTTGCCGGTTCGATCTTCCAAAATAGTGGTGCAGGTTCATTTAACCACCCCTCACCTCTGTTCACGCAGCAGTATAAATGGTTAACACCACAGTTCATCGATTGTGAGGCTGCGTGTGGCTACTCCCACCTCGCACTCAGAAAGTCTGGCCAATGCGGAATAAATAATAAAACAAAATGTAAAAAAAAAATCCCCCTAAAAGGGGCTCCCCCCCCCAAAGTTTTCTCGAGCAGAGGCCCTTCAGCCAGCACCGTATGAATTCGCTACCATATACATGCTAAATAACAGACACATTGTAGTGTATTGTTTTAAATGCAAAGCAGTACAACTGGCAGGTATGGACGCGAGTGCACAGTTTAAAATTAACGGAGCTGTGATAAAACGCTTAACCTTGTGCTTCAGGAAACACGGCGCTTAATGACGAATGATGCCATCTAAGCCTGCGCTCATAGTTTCCCGAGACAGCGCGCAATGTGGGGAGAAATTAACCCTTTCCGAGACGTCTGCAAGTTGCAGCGTGGGTCCCGTTCACCGCCGAATCTCGGAACGCGTGAGCGGTTCAGCGTTAATTTTATTTAGAGAGGCGTACCGCCGATGTTCCTGAAGACACTGCACTCACCGCAGAGAACCGTAGTGGCACGACTGCACTGTATGACAACTGGAGGCAAACTGTGCCACACGCCCTCCCGCATGGCCTTGTGGGAGCCACGGTACCAATAATGCTATATATTTTTTGGGATTCCGTTCCAATGACATACACATATATCATCGGAACAGGAAAGGGTTAAGTGAACCTTTATTTTATACGCCGCCTGACACCAGCCAATACGTTACCCAGGCCCGTTTAGATCATGAGGGCGTTTTAATAAAATGGGAATAAAATGAAGAGCGGTGATTCTAGCAATCGCACAAAAACAAAGATCCCACGTATAGCCTGTAAACAAGCAAGTGCTGTTAGTGAGCACCTATGACGGCCGGCACAGCACACGAGCGGGGTAAAACTGCCAACACCACACCCGGCCACCTTTGTCTCCCCAGTGGTGATGTCTACACCGCACCAGGTACTCATTTGAGGCTGAGTCGACCAAGCGGAGGCCCAGGACCGGTTCAGATAATCGTCACTGGTGGTGTTTGCTGTGAGCGGGAATCGAACCAGGGTCACCGGGTTCGTTGCGCAGCGCGCTAACCGCTACCCTGACACACGTGCACACACAAAGTCTTTTCTAACTATGAAAAAATATATACATATAAGGCGTCAATTATGATAAAATACAGAGCAGCGCCTCTGCAATTGGCACTGCCGGCACACAGGATTAGGAGATAAATTACAGATATATTAAAACCCGCTTTCATTTGGCCTGCAAAGAGTGTTTTAGACTCCAATACGTCATGCACACCCCGCTACAATTACAGTAATTGAAATTTGCACTAAATTTGACAAAAGGCTGCGATTGACATCCAGTGGTGGGGGGGTGCTCAGCCTAAGCAAGCTAATCAAAGACAAACAGGTGAACTAAAAATCAGCTTGGTAACATGTGACAAAATAAATATAAACACATTAATATCTCTCACCGCTATCTTCTCTCATCAAACTCTCCTCTCTGTCATCTCATGTAGGAGCTTATGCAAAGGGCTTAAAATTGTTTTTAACACTTCTGAGAATTTACAACAATAACACGTGACATGTGCTGCTGCCTCTGGGCTCTGAAGACCACCTGGAGAAGACTCCAGGCCACGTGTTGACAACGATGGCGAACAAGTGGAGACTCTTTGACTTTTTGAAGCTATTAACGTTACATTTGTTATCATGTTAGTGTATTATCCGTTCTTTTGCCATTAAAAACGATAGTCCCATATACGTGTTATAGGGGGGAGGTGGGGGGAGGAGCAGGGCCCCCCAAAGGGCCAGCACCACCGCTGCCAGCGCACGTGACGGAACGACGAGCGCCTGCGGCTCAGATTTTGGGCCTCTGCCCAGGATGGGGGGGGGGGGGGGCGGGGGCTTGCCTCCTTGAGCTTGCGGATCGTCTCCGTCTGGTCGTCCAGGATCTTGGTCTTAATCTTGAGGGCGTCCGCGTCGCGCTCCGCTTGCTTGCGCAGAGAATCCGCCTCGGCCTGGAGTGACTCAATCCTCGCCTCCATTCGCCCGCGGTCCTGGGAGAGCGCCGCTCCTGGAACATGCAACAACAACAACAAACAAACGTGGTCAATGTAATCATCGTCGTCATCAGCATCAGCTTTGATCGGCTGAGTTCTGGTGTCCCTCCCCCCCTCCCCCCCAAGCCGTCGTCAGCTCTCCAAGGTCTCGCAGTGCGGTAATCCACACAGCCATTTGTACACCTGCCGATTTCATCATCGCTCCACGTTAGTCTCGATCACCGGCCACCATCCCCTTACAGCGACGCATCCTACCCAAAGCCCACTGAATAATTTTTCAAAACAAAGCGACTTTCAGAGCCTCATCAGCAGACATGAGGCATGTTAAACAAACGCTGCTGGACTGCCAAATGATAAGACACATCTGCCGTTTCCACACAGCCCGATCGGCACCGGGGGGGGCTTGGCAAACGGCGTCAACATGGCGGCGAGATGTTAACCACCTCGCCTGGTATACAGGAGGTCGTGGGTTTGATCCCGACCCTAATGCCTGTATATTTGGAGTTGGGATGTTCTCCCCGTGATTGTGTATTTTTCTCCAAGTCCTCCGGTTTTTCGCTCAACATTTATAAACATGCGTTTAGGGTATCATTTTCCACATAATGGGCCACTATCATTTTTGTAGCCAGGTCGCTTCTGAAAAGGGGCTGTATAGGCTCAGTGGGCCTTACCTGGTGAAACAAAAAAAAATAGCTCAGTTTAATAGTTTAGTTGAGAGTTTCACACGGCCCGAACCTTGCTGCGCCAGCTCATGACCCCAGGCGTGCCGCTCGCTCCGCAGTCCGTCCGCCACGGACTCCAGCACCTTGAGTTGTGACACGAGGTGCGACTTCTCCTTGCGCAGCAACTCCAGCTGCACCGTCCTGCGCTTGTCCTCCTCCGCCGCACCGTCCAGCGCCTGCGCCTGCCTCTGCGTGACGCACGGCACAGCGACGGTGGGCGGACAGATTGAAACTCGGGAGACGCAGGCCGCGATTGATTGGGTGAGAATTTTGAAAACTTTCCGGGCTAAAGGTTGAAAGGGTTCGATTTGACTCTCCGTCCGTAGCGGGGTAGTACTACATGGCGGGGGATGGGGGATGCTGATGCACCATCGAGGCAACCCATCGAACTGACCGACAAAGATAAGTACAACACAGTGCAACACAACACGAAATATGTAGAGTTAGTGACTTTAGTTTTTGTTGGTCCGTATAATAAAACACACACACACACTATACTACACACGGTAATACATTATGTATATGCACGCACAAAGGATTACTTGTTTTTTCTTACGTATATTTGTAACGCATTTTGCAGCTTCCAGACTTTCAGCTATGAAATACCAGGTTTCCCCCCTCCTCCTCCTCCTCCTCCCACCACCCACTATTGCTGCGGCTAGCCGGGTAAATAAAAAAAAAAGAATGTAATTACGCTAACAACATCAACAGCGGACGCGCGAGCCGGTGATTTGAACGCGTGACCTGCGGGTCGCTGATCGCAAGCCGCGGGGGTGGGGATCCAATTTCACCGGCTGCGGATTACAGGAGTTCGCGCGTGCGTACGCTCACCGAAATTTGGTGTTCTTTTTTCCCCCTTCCCATTCCTGTCCTTTTGTCAACTGGGACACGACCGGGCTGCGCACGCAAACAGAGAAATCGTACGCGGTATTTTACAACCTCCGTAATAATAATAAAAAAATTCGTTGGCCATCACCCAGGCGCGGGGCTACGTGCTGTTTGCATCAATGCGATAAATGAAAATGACAAGGAAAATTGCCCAGTCTGTTGACCTATGAAATGTTTAAGGGTGAGGGGGGAGGAGAATAAGTGAAAATTCACAAAAGAGTTGGTCTTAACAAAAGTCTGGGTAGTCACAGCAGTCTACCGAGCCATGCAGTAGAATTTAAAGAGATCACTTCCGAGTGTCTCAGAGCAGCGAGTCGGCACCGCTGCGAGCCTGCGAATGAAAACTAGGCAACTGATTGTGCAATGAATGGACGGCCACATCTCGGTCTGATTGGAATGAGAGAAACAGCTCAAAATCACGGAAAGTGAGTGCGGATTATTGCCAATTGACAGGGCACCAACAGCAATAGATCTGACGTCATCTTCCGGAGCCATTCTCTCGCACAAGGTGTGTACGTGCTGCTACCTGCGCGGGTCGCGAATATAATTTTATTTTCGTTCTTTCGTGACGCGAAAGAAAGAAAAAAAAATGAAAGAAAACAATAGGGAGAAAAAAATCCACTTCCATTAGCGAAATCATCCAGCACTTGCGTTTGCCAGCACCTACACCAAGAACGCCCTCCCCCGCATGCTTTACAGAATGATTTATCGTTTTCCAATGCGCATCGTCGCCAATCGGCTGCACACTTCTGCCCGCTCGCTGCAAAGACGTCGTGGCTGCTTCTCTTTGCGCAACGATTGACCGGGGATGGTGGTGGCTTCATGTTGAGCCCCTCGCTGAGTGCGCCAGCCGGTGTATGTTTGTGTGTGTGTCGGTGTCTGTGTGTGTGCCGGTGTCTGCGTGTATGCGTCTGTGTATGTCTGTGAGCGTGGGAAGCTGTAGTGCAGCGGTTAGCGCACTGTGCTACAAGCCGGTGACCCGAGTTTGAATCCCACTCACGGCCAACACCAGTGACGATTATCTTAACTAGTTCTGGGCCTCCCCGAGGTCGACTCAGCCTCAAATTTGTACCTGGTGTGGTGTGTAAACATCGCCACTGTGGAGAGAAAGACGGCCGGGCGTGATGCTGGCCACCCACCCCCTCGTGTGCCGTGCCGGCCTTCACAGGAGCTCGCAAACAGCACTTGCCCCTGTTAAGGCTATATGGGGGATCTTTATCTTTTTGTGCAACAATGGGGCACCCAATCTATGATAGTAACTATACAACAAAAATGTGCATTCATTCTCTGCGGCCAGGTGGGTTTGAAAGTTGCCTACATTAATAAATGTGAGCACTCGAGCAATTTTATAGAATTGTCCGTGCAAACTTTGAAGGGGCAGGATGATGTGTAATGTACAGGGTGGTCCAGAGGTCTTGTTACCCCCCCCCCCCCATGAATTGACCGCCCAATGAATTGACCCCGATAAATTATTTCCTTTTCATATTGATTTTTGTTTTAACTAAACGTTACTTAAAACAATATTAAGTTTTAGATAAATAAATAGGTGGTCACGAGACACCTTCACCACCCTGTACAAATGCACACTGCACAATGTACAACAACGCACAAGCTGAATAATTAAACGGTGAACGGTACGAGGAACGCGACCGTGAGCGATCTGCAATTAACCTTCGTTATTTCTCAATGTTTTCGTGCATCAATAAAAACACCGCAAAAGGCGCCTCACCTTCCCCCAATTTTCTGCTACGCATTCAGCAAATCGGCACACAACCAACCCAAAACGACAACAAGAACAACACTCGGGCCTCCGTCCGCCGACCGAGCGGTGGAACTGCTCATCAGCTTCCTCCAGTACGAATAAATATTCAAATTCTGAATTTCTCACACAATGAAGCCTGGGCAAACCGAGCAAGGATTATACGCAGGCCATCCGGAATTATTCAGTCGGAGACGGGCGTTCTTGTAAATGGGTTCCTCCTCAGAATCTCACAGGCGTACAGAAGAGAGGGCCGTATGCTGGTGTATCCAACAATGAACGCGCTGCGACACTAAGGACGCACCACTTACTGCGCGTGCGCCTGGCGCAAGCGTTCCGCGTTTACTGCCGCCAACAGAAAAAAAAATCTTCCGCGGACCAACCCGTGGTGGATGCGCGTCAAAACACGTTCCCTTCGCTCGCGCACCTTGATGAGCGCGCCCGCCTCCTGCCTTGCCCTGGCGAGCTCCGACAGCCGTCCCTTCTGCTCCTTGACCATGACCGTGAGCTCCCGCACGAGCGTGGCGGAACGCCGCTCCTTGTCGCGCGTCGCCGCCAGCTCCGCCGTCTGCTTCGCCAGCTCCTCGGCCGCGCGATCAAACGCGAGCTTCACCTGCCGCCCAGAGTCACGTCACCTCTCCCGCCGAGCCTCAGCCTCGATTCTCTTCGCTAATTAACGTGCCCAGGCGAGTGAAGCTCGTGCACGTTAGGGTTAGCTGCCAGGTACGGTCATCGATAAAAGATACATGCTTATGCTTGCAGGACACCTGGGTGCCACGGTGGCGAGATGTTCACGACCTCTCCTGGTATACAGGAGGTTGCAGGTTCGATCCCGACCCCGACGCCTTTATATGTGGAGTGTGCATGCCTCTCTCTCCCCCTGATCGTTTGGATTATTCTCCGGGACCTCCAGTTTTTCCCTCACCATTTAGAAACGTGCGTTAAGAGTATTTGGCTGCAATACATTTGAGCTGTCATTTGTGGACAGGTGGTTTCTTAAATAGAGCTACGTAGCTCAGTGGGCCTTACTTGGGAAAATAAAAATAAAAACACGAACACCAACAGCTCTTTTGCCAATCCACTGCCAGATGAGAGCTTGGCCACACCGTGCGGGTCATGGGGGTTACTCGGACATACTTCACCACACTGGTCAGTGCGGGTTAATGAAGGTGGGGCACGTACACATTGGACTGGAGCACATTACGGTATCACAATGAATCTTGATTTAAAGCTTTCGTGACTGCAGGGATTCATATTCTTGGTTCTTTCGGTAAAGTCACCACGTAGAAGGGAAACAATATTTTTTATTATTTTATTGTTTCCCTTCTACATGACGGTATTACAATGGTTATTGCCACACTGCCCATTGCTGGAAATGCAGCTCGGTAGCAAACTACAGCACCTGTTTCATGCATGGCGGACACCCATTCAAGACACTATCCAGGCTCAAAGCCTGCTTTAGCTTCCGAGATTCAACAAAATCACCTGCATTATGGGTAATTTGGTCATAAGCAAACTGTGTGTGCATGACTCTACAACGTATGTAAATTATGTGAAAATGTTATGTTAATATCCCACTTAGGCTAAGAGAGCATCCGTAAGTGCTGGATCTCAAGCATATGCCAACGTGGGTGGCTCCCATAACTCGACTGTGTCTCTGCCAACTAAATCCCTCGTAAAGCCTTCCCAGACTGTTGGGGCAAGTGCTGTTAGCGAGCACCTTACACAGATAAAGATCTCCAAATAGCCTCAACAGACTGTTGGGGCAAGTGCTGTTAGCGAGCACCTTACACAGATAAAGATCCCCGAATAGCCTCAACAGACTGTTGGGGCAAGTGCTGTTAGCGAGCACCTTACACAGATAAAGATCCCCAGAATAGCCTCAACAGACTGTTGGGGCAAGTGCTGTTAGCGAGCACCTTACACAGCTAAAGATCCCCAGAATAGCCTCAACAGACTGTTGGGGCAAGTGCTGTTAGCGAGCACCTTACACAGATAAAGATCCCCAAATAGCCTCAACAGACTGTTGGGGCAAGTGCTGTTAGCGAGCATCTTACACAGATAAAGATCCCCGAATAGCCTCAACAGACTGTTGGGGCAAGTGCTGTTAGCGAGCACCTTACACAGATAAAGATCCCCAGAATAGCCTCAACAGACTGTTGGGGCAAGTGCTGTTAGCGAGCACCTTACACAGATAAAGATCCCCAAATAGCCTCAACAGACTGTTGGGGCAAGTGCTGTTAGCAAGCACCTTACACAGATAAAGATCCCCAAATAGCCTCAACAGACTGTTGGGGCAAGTGCTGTTAAGCGAGCACCTTACACAGATAAAGATCCCCAAATAGCCTCAACAGACTGTTGGGGCAAGTGCTGTTAGCGAGCACCTTACACAGATAAAGATCCCCAGAATAGCCTCAACAGATTGTTGGGGCAAGTGCTGTTAGCGAGCACCTTACACAGATAAAGATCCCCAGAATAGCCTCAACAGACTGTTGGGGCAAGTGCTGTTAAGCGAGCACCCAAAAATGCCGGCTCGGCACACGAGACGGTGGGTGGCCAGCGCCACGCCAGCCCTCCTTTTTATCTCTCGAGCGGCGATGTTTACACACTGTGCTAGGTGCTTATTTGAGGCCGAGTCGACCTAGGGGAGGCCTAGGACTGGTTCAGATATAATCGTCACTGGGGGCCATGAGTGGGAATCGAACTCGGGTTCCTGGGTTCACATCACAGAACGCTAACCTGCTACACTACCGCTCCCCTGTCATGCCCACGCACGCACGCACGCACGCGTGCGTACACACACGCACCTCCTGATAGCGCGTAGCCTCGATTGACAAGGCTGCCCGAAACTCATCCTCGAGATGGGCGTACTGCAGCGTGAGGGCCTCCACTCTGTCCTGGTGGACACGCAGCGCCTCCGCGTGCTGCTCCTCCACGCGGGCCCGCTCCCGGTCCAACGCCTGCTTGAACTCCGGACCGTCGAGTGGCACGCGGCTCTCTATCGCTTTTCTGAAAGGCGGCAGACGAAGTGGCGGTGAGATGTCTGCCAGGAACGTGAGATTTGGCAACAGCGTGGGAAGGCCGTCTTCACTCTGTGATACTGGACATCTGTGAAACTACTGGACATCTGTGAAAAATACCTTTATAGCTCATCGAATTTCTCCATTTCAATATATATTCCGATTCTGATTCTAATCTGTGGACAGACCATGCCTGACGATGATGACGTGCTAATGTCAACATGTAACAAGGGTAGATGCGCATTTGTAACTCTTGCGGAGCTGTGTGCTGTCACTCTGTGTTAGAGAAATTGCCCGCAGAAGGTGATATCACGGAACTATTCCCGAGGTCCCTTTAAGTGACCTATCGTCCAAGTGCTGCACATTCTCACACGCCCTGCTGCAGGAATGTTTTTTTGCGCGGAAGTAAAACCTCGATTTTATTTTAAATACCCAGTTAGATTTTTTTCAAAATTAAATGAAAACTCTATTTAATACGATCGAGGTTTTTTTTTTCACGCAGATGTTAGTGGGAAGATCAACGACCTACTAAAGAGGTATTTAATGAGACTTATGAAATATTCCCAATTTGCCATTTTATTATTTGTACGGTAAAGACGTACGCTTTGCAAAACCCTGCCAATATATTGTCACATGAAGCTCGAATGGATATTTCTCATTCGCAGAACTATTATTTCGCAAAATCGATTATGGTTTTCGTGAAAAGTCATTGATGAATGACCCTGAGCTACCGTCTTCCGACATTTGAGAATCCAGTTTAAAATCGCGGTTGGCCAAATCCTGAAATTCGACGCCAGGATCTCAGCGCCGGTGGCCGCTCGGTGTTCTGTGAGCAACCGCGTAAAAAAAATTCCCCCAAGTTCGCACGAACAAAATGTCAAGCAACCGACCACTGACCTCCGAGCCAGCTGGCCACATCTGGAGATGTGGTTTACAAGACAGCTCTGGTAGTTACCAGCGGTACGGTCGGCCGAGAGAGAGTGTGACAGCAGCAACAAGGGCGACGGCGTCTTTCACGGTTAAAAGTCTGAAGTTGAATGCACACCTCTACCTGCCGGCAGGGTCATCATTTTAATTGCACGTGCGGGATGTGACATCCACCCATTCACATGGGCTCACGGGCTCGAACAAGATAGGGAGTGTACGCCCGCTGCAAAGAAGCGTGTATTATCCTGCAAGGTTTATGAAGGCACCTTGGGATGCGCAATATCGCATGGACAAGCTCTGGGCCACTCTCCATGCAGGGCCGCTGCTGCTGCTGCTGCTCCCGATATTGGGTTTTAAATTGAAAACAGCGGAGCACGATGATTTCAGCAGCGTTATCAGGGGGCAAAAAGGAACAGAATGAAGCTGCCATTGTAGTAGCTAGATTTCGTGATTTATTTATTCATTTCCTTTTTTTTTTGCACGTGCCACATCGCATTCGCGCGCGCTCCCAATGACATATTTTAGCATCGGCAAAAGCATTTTTCATTCATATTCGAATAAGCCGAGCAGTCACAAAATTACGATAATTATTTTTTCACTGATATTTTAATAGGTATCTCCCCGACAGTGAACGAAAATCAGCCGGAGAAATTAAAGCGGGGCCGGGGCAGGCGGCACTCGAATCACGACTCGGCGCTCTCACCATGCCATCCACGTTCACGAGTTGGGGTGGGGGGGGGTGTCCCAGCAGTATTCTTAAACCTTTCCCCCGTTTCCGAGATCGTCTGCAAGTTGCAGTTCCCCGTTCACTGCTGAACCTCGGAACGCGTGAGCGGCTCGGCGTTAATTTTATTCAGAGAGGCGTAGCGCCGTTGTTTTTGAAGACACTGCGCTCGCCGAAGAGAACCGTAGCGGCACGACCGCACTCTGCGATCCCCTTTCCCGTTAACGACGACCGAGTGGGGTACATGCACATCATCGGGAACGGGAAAGGGGTTAAGAGGCCGTCAGCTCACACATGTGGAATTTCCGCGCGAGAAATTGCACAATCACCGTGCTGTGCCGTGACAATGGGCTCGTCCCGTGCGAGGTACCCGGTTTGCTTGCGTCTCCCAACAATGGTAACCGTGTGCACGCACGCGCGCGCGCTGCCCGGTTTGCCGATGCCGCTGCTGGATTAGGGCCGAACCACGCCGTGCGGGTCAGTGTAGGACGTTCAACCATACTGCACCATGCTGGTCAGTGCAGGATGGTGAAGGTGGCGGAGCGTAGACGTGGGAGCACACGAGTAATGTACAATCATTAATTTTGCTTAACTACCCTCTCTGCTCACAACGTACCTCGGCAGCAGCCTACAAAAGCCTACGTTATAACGTAAACGTTGATTTTACCAGGAAAGCCCCACTGAGCTATGAAGCTCTTTTTCAGAAGCCACCTGGCCACAAATAATAGCTCAACAAAGTGGCTTATCTTGTGGAAACGAGAGCAGCCAAATACTCTAAACTCGTGTTTCTAAACGTGGCTGGACAAAAAACGTAAAAACCGGAGGATCCGGAGAAAATTTTCACGCAACCACGGGGAGAACATGCGTCAGGGTCAGGATCGAACCTGTACACCAGGAGAGGTAGTTAACTTCTCGCCACCGCGGCGCCCCTACGTATGGGGGCCACCAATCCAAGCACTAACCAAGCACTAATGAAATATTCTGCCAAGCGTCCGAGATCTGACGAGATCGGGTGGGCGCATTCGGGGTGATTTGATCACGGCAGGTCGCTCCTTCGCCCTGCAGTCTGGAACACCCCACCCCCTGCCTATCTGCGCACAGCTGACTTGTCCATTAGTCTGCAAGACCAGACTAATGGTCTTGCATCTATTCTCCTAATTAAGTTTATCTTTCGTCGTTTTCGTGAAAGAAATGCGTTGCATAGTTATATAACTGCACCACGGCATACGATGCACTTAACGAGCTCGCATCGCTCTCATCTCCTCCTTTGTCTCACTGTTGTCATTTAAAATGTATCTTGTGAATGTAGCAATAACCAAAACTGTATCGGACAGCACTGCCAATCAAGATTATTGCGGTGGATGTGATGGCGAGTTTTCTGTTACTGCTGCTGCTGATTATAATAACGGTGCCGCTCCACTGTACCCCCCCCCCCGTGTACCACCCCCCTGTGCGGCTCCACTGTACCACCCCCCCCCCCCGTACCACTCCCCTGTACCACCCCCCCCCCCCTGCCGTACCACTCCCCTGTACCACCCCCCCCCTGTGCTGCACCCCGTGCCACCCTCTTTGCTGCCCCGCCCCCCCTTGCCACCCCCCCCCCTCCTGTGCCATACCCATGTCGCTCCCCTCGTGCCGCTCCCGTGCCACACATCCTCTTCCGCATCCCTTTGCCGCCCCCATACGCCACCCTCCTGCGTCAAGCCCGTGCCGCAGCGTGCCTCCCCCGCCCCCCCCGGAGCCACTGACCGGTGGTCTTGCTCACGCGCCGCCAGAAGTTCCTGCAGCTGCTGCACCTTGTCCTGCTGCTGCCGCTGCGACGTGCGCAGCAGCTCCGCCTCTCTCTGCATCGCCAGCGCCCGCATCTCCGCCGCTTGCGTCTTCTTCAGCTGTGGATGGGGGGGGGGCGGGGGTACACTTCATCATCCCTGGTCGTCGTCATTATCTTCATCGACATCCATGGCCTGTCCACCGGCGGATCAAAGCATCTCCCGAACCGCCGACGTTCTTCGCGGTCTCGCGACGCAACAGTCCATTTGGCTCCGGAGCACACGACGTAATTTTATGGCGTCATTGCCGCCTTTGGCTGCCACTCCCGTCATTAGTCTCGCCCGCCGGTCACCGTGCCTTTCCGGCGACGCGTCGTGCCCAAGTCAGGTTAGCTTTTCTTAACGGTCAATGCAACTTCTCCGACTTGTGTGCCTTCTCTAATCCACGCATTCCTTTTCCTGTCCCTCGCTGTAATTCCATAAAGTTCCGCGTGGGTGTCCTGCACGAACCACCGACAAAGCTACGAGATGGCCTGTGGGAGGCGGCGGAGCAAGTGGAGGGGTGTTGACTCATTTTTACAGCTTCAAAAAACAAACAGTGATTTAAAGCTTTCGTGACTGCAGGGAGATTCATATTCTTGGTTCTTTCGGTAAAGTCACGTAAAGTGGCCGAAACGTCGCGAGAATTTTAGTTTATTATTTTGTTATATATTTTTATTATTATTTCCCTTCTACGTGACTTTACCGAAAGAACCAAGAATATAAAAAAACAGTGCTTTGAGGTGGCCTGTGGAACGCACAGCTGGGCCTTTCTGTGCATTATCATCTGCAACGCTATACAGGCTGCAGGGAATTTAATATTTAGCTTTGTTTTAACACTGATGTATGCGTTGGGCAACACTGTCAATTCCTCAAGCGGCAGTGTTTTCACTCAGATTTCTTCTTTGACGCCAGCGCTGTGCTCGATTAATTTTGAATTTTTTTTTTTTAATTTCGGTGACGACACTTTATCCCCCTGGCCTCTGGGCGTTGTCACACGACGCGGGCCGGCGCAAAAAATCGCTCTCTCGCTCCAGCACCTCGGCCGTCTGCTGTTGAAGCCTCTGGGCCTGCAGCCCCTCCAGGTTCTGCTCGAGCGCGCGGAGCTGCTTCCGTTGCCTCTCGTCAGCCTGCCGGGCAGCGGCCGCCTCCCGCGACGAGCTCTCCGCTCCTGCCTGCAGCTGCGCCAGCAAGGCTCGCAGTTTCTCCTTCTCCTCGCGCTCCTTCAGCAAGCCCTGCTGGAGTCTACCAACGCACGGCAGCAACAGCGGGCGGTGTCAGCGAATGGCTCTCCGGTGCTGCTTTTTTTTTTTTCTCTTTCTCTCTGGCCGCACCGCGTGGTGTTGGGGCGCGGCGTCCGATGTTTAAGCGGGCACAACCCGAAAGCGCCGCCGTCGGAGAGCTGTACGGCACGGCGGCGAAAATCCGCGCGGCCGTGACACGAGCGCTTGGCTCGAGGGTTGCACCGACCTGGGAGTTTTCTGCACCAGTCAAACTCGGAGATATTCATGAAAAAAAAAATATACACGAGCTCAATATTCGGCCGAATACGCTCTCGCGTGAACGTTTCTTCCGTATCCCTCCCCCGTCGTCAGCTCTGATGTCCCAGAGTGAATTGCTGGCCCTTACTCATCAGCCACGTCGGCGGTGACACAGCGCCTCAATTGCGAACGGGGAGGCAATTCAATTTGCAGGGGAAATAAAAATAAACGGGGCAGGACATCAAGCGCGCTGCTCAGCAACATCCGTTCCTGCATTAACCAACACGACAACGTGCGTCCCTCAATCTTTGGGGACGGCATGAGCCAACCCCCCCCCCACCCACCTACCCTCACCGTTCTCCATTCGCCCGGCGGAACGCCCGCGCACGCCGCCGCACAACTTGTGCAAGTAAAAGGACATCTTATTTACACATCAACTGAGAACGCTGGCCGACACGCAGGGAGGATCGAGAGCGTGAGTCCCCCGAGGATCCGGGTTGAGAACCCGTGCTGTAATGCAAACCGAGACTCCGCCGCTCACCCTTGACCCCCCCCCCCCAGCTGTTTCTGTAGCTGCTGCTGCTGCTGCTGCTGCCTCCCCTCCCTACGCTCAGCACCTCCACCGGCTTCTTCAAAGCATCCGCTCCTTCCCCCCGCGCGCCCTGCACTCCTGTCGCCTCCCAGCGACTCGGGCACCTGCTTTTACCTGTTGGTGACGTGTAGCGCCGTTCCATGCAGCTCCCGCTCCTGCCCGGCCTGCGCTTGCAGACCTCGCAGGCGTTCCGTCAGCTCGCGGGTCGCCTGTTCCGCCTTCCAGCGCCGTTCCCTCTCCAGGTCCAGCTCCCGCACGAGCGCCTGCGTTCGGAGGAAGGGGGAGGAAGGGGGAGGAGGACGAGAGAGGTGACAAGGTTGAGAGGGGCGAGCGGGGGATATGTGCACGCGAATTAGCGATGGAATTCGCGCATTTATAATCGATTCGTTAACGTCAAAGACGAAATACGCTCTTCAGCAGCGCGGCAGTAATTGTATGGCGAGCGTCGTTCCTCCCGCCTGAGTGGGCCGGCTCCAAATGCAGCGTTTGCTATAACGGTGCAGTCTTTCATCATTTTAACCGATCACTGATGAAGTTCGTCCCATTCTTTCTCATTCAACGCCAAGCCAAGGGCATCCTCCAGCATAATTCCCACACTCCCCAGGTCATTTCAGACAAAATTGAGCCCGACGTGCCTGGCTCCGTCTCAATTTCCCTTCATCGCTGGTCACCCTAACACCGCAAAATCATGATTAACAACACCTGAAACGGGACTGTGCGGGATGGCAACAACATGGGTGGCATTCATCCAGCAGTGCCTAGACCACATCTGCTGCTGCTGATGATAACGAAGACAGACGAGGTTTTAAGAGAATCCGCATGACACGTCATTTAATTCGCCACTTGATTATGCTGAGGAAAAACCCAGCGAATTCGAAAAATCACTCGCAGTAGCCTGTCTATTGGAAACTCTCATTTCGCTTTGCCATGTTTCATTGACGCTTTAGTCTTGATGGGGAAGTGGGGAGGCAGATCTCAGCGTCTGCAACCAACTTTAATTTCATTTCCCTTGTAAATGGAAACTTTAAGTAAGCAATCATCTGTGGCGAAAACGAGATTTGACTTCCGTACAACTTCACCGTTCCTGTGTAACCTATTTAGCAAACCCAAGCTCACATTCCATTTTACACTTTCTGAAAATTTCATACGTTCTCATTCCACAGTCGCGCGCTCTTTCCCCGTAGTCACTGAAATATTTATTTTTTAATCTCCCGTCGATGACCCAGTCTGCTTGGGTGACCTCTCCCCTTGCCCGCTTGTATGGGGACACATGCCGTGTGTAGAATACCCGCCCGCTCCCCAATCCGCTACACAGCCCCACCACCAACCAACCCCGCACCCCCCCCCCACCCCACGTGGGAATGGCTGATGACACTCGGCTCGCATGCAGATCGAAACAGACACGCGCAAAAATATACCGCAAAAACCCATCGGCGAAGAAATAAGCCTCAAATAAGCACGGCCGTTCACCGACCGGGCAACTGTCTGGTTTTTGGCGATAAAAGTCTCACACGCTGCACGATTTGCACATCAACAAATTCAAGCGCGATCGAGTGAGCGGACGTCTTACAAAGTTCTCACATTACGGATTTCTCACCTAAACGAGGCTTGGCGCTGGTGAAATGGGCAAGCGACGCCGTGCATTCCGCACAATCCTGGCTCGTGTCACGTGCGCACACACGTTGATGAAACTGGAATTTAAAAGTCGAAAATAAAAGCCACCGCCCACAGCCAGTGGTGAAAAATTCCACATACCTATGTCAGGAGTATATCCATAGGACAAGAATGCTTTACTTCCACACAAAGTGGTACCAATTCATTCAACACTGGAGGGATGATGGGCCGAGTGATCCCTCAACCGGCAATTAAATTAGCAACCTCTAAATTGCTAGCTGCTTGCTCTACCGCTGAGCCACCTGGCAGGATAGTAAACAAAAAAGTTTAAACTATTACATTGCATCAAGGGACTTCCTTTGCCAGTACTAAAATATGAGAATAGGTTTTCCCCTTTTTTCTAGCAACAAAACAGGTATTGAGATATTCTTAGTTTTTTCGGTAAAGTCACGTTGAAGAGAAACAACAAAATAATAAAATATATATAAAACAAAAAAATTCTCACGACGTTTCGACCATAACTCAAACGGTCACTAAAACCTTTAACAAACGGTGTTAGACCAGAGGACGCATTTGGGATGAGGCTCAAAAGCTGTCTCTGGTGTGGACCAATCAGTTTCAAAGACAATGCATATATTTTTATTCATAGCTTATATTATCAGTGTGTTTTTTTGTTTGCATTCTGACCACAAGTATTGTGGTCAATGCAGACATGATTCCTTGTAAAAGGTTTCAGTTTGGTGTTTTAACATCTCAACACCTAAATTTTTATTTAAAGCTTTCGTGACTGCAGTAATTCATATTCTTAGCTCTTTCGGTAAAGTCACGTTGAAGGGAAACAATAAAATATATATTGTTTCATATATTTTATTATTTTATTGTTTATATATATTATTATTTTATTGTTTCCCTTCAACGTGACTTTACTGAAAGAGCTAAGAATATCTCAACACCTGTTTTGTTGCCAGAAAAAAAGGGGAAAACCTATTCTCATATCTTACATTGCATTTTGAGCACGTGTCATTAGTATTTTTCCTGTCCGGTGAATGCGCACATGCAGATTTTACTTCCACAACGTCACCCCTGATCACTGTTGTATATATATAGGCCTTTTTCCAAAAAATAATATTAACAATAATTCTGCCATTTGTTTAATGATAATCGATAACATATATAAATAAAACACCCTCAAACCCGCTACCTCCCACAAGCACCAAGCATCTGGAGGTCGTAAAAGGCCATTAAATAATAAACTCCGGGGCAAAGGGAGGTTATCGACGACGATCTGCAACATCTCCAGATTGCCAAAGGACCGCATGCCATGACCTGCTTGGCGCTTTGGACAGATCACAAACAAATATCCAGACTCACAGGCACGGACACAGAGCGCAGGGCAAACGGACATTATAACTGATATGTTTGTTTTTTGTACGGAAAAAGTTGAAGCTTGGCTATAAGAATAAGTCGACATTATAGACTGCAGTATTCCTTATATTATTTCTTATTGTATCTTTCTATCTACGTGACTTTACCAAGAGAACCAAAGTACATGAGTTCCTGCAATCACGAAGTCCAAACTAAGCTATATGTCTGACCTCGAGAATAAAAAAGCACGGATCCCTGGATGCAGACAGGGAGCAAAAAGTAATAAAACCCTTGAAATACCGGAGGTAACATTAAATGGTACATTACAAATCTTGGTTAAACATAAACCAAATAATAGTCACAAGAGATTAGACCTGGGGTAACTCATTAGAGGTACAAGAAAATAGGTCGAACACACAAGACCAGATAATATGTATTCCATGAAATCAGAGCCTCCCCGGCCGCCTTTGTCTTCCAACAATTTGACACAAACACATGGTAGCCATGAATACGTATGAAAGGTGCGTCCCCTCCCTTAGCAGACACCACGAAGAGAGGGGTTGGGAGTGCAAACAAACATCAATTTGATGTAAAGCAGCCCGCCCGGGGTCACCAAGGGAAGAGGGGAGGGGGGCAATCAGGCGCGGCCGCGGGGGGAGAGCATGACGGAGTAAGCATCTGGTTTTTTTTTCTCGCAAGAGACGGGCAGAGGGGAGACATTTTCAGATATAAACAGCTACACGACACACAACTTTGAGCTCGGCAAGGGACAGCGAGACAGCAGCTCGGAAGAGGACAGCAAGCCAGCTTCGGGGCATGGCCTCGAGATCAACAATGCGTGTGGTGCATCGCAGAGAAGAGGGGCGAGGTGATGTGAGGTGCTGAGTTCGGCATGGACCGACAGAGTATCGCTGAAAGTTTATTCTACATTCCTCCTGATGTTTTGAGTCGCTTGCAGAATCGAGGATTGCGATAAGTTGTATCGTACTAAGCTATCAGAGTTGTGTAAGAGGTGTGCAAATACAATTTTCAAGTTTTGAGAGTGAGTGTTCCAGCCAGCGACGAGCAGCTCACAGCAAGAGCCCTCCTGGAAGAAGGGTGAAGAGCACGAAAGTTGAGCAACGACAAAGCGCAGCCCTGAAGTAAGGGCGGGTGTCCGTGTGAAGCTGGCAGCTGCACGATCAAGGAGAGAGCAGGAGAAATGAGAGAGAAAGAGTGCCGAGCGACAACAAGCAATCAACCTGGAGAAAGGGTGGAAAGCGCCAAGCCTCGACCAAGCCAGCATCACAGAGAACCAGCTCCACCGAGCGAGGGTGTCTGCCACCAGCTAACGAGATGCACGCGCAATCGAGCATCGCCAGAGAGAGACGGAGCAAGAGAGAGAGTGCGCAGCAGCGTCCCCAGCGCCACCGAGCGAGGGTGTCAGCTGCCAGCGGACAAGCGTTGTGCCGACTCAGCTCATCCAGCAGGGGAAAGAGCCTGACCAGCCGCCCGCGAGCAAGAGCGTCGGCGCCAGCGAGCGCGCCGTGGGTCCGACCCACAAGCACGCCGACCGGCACCGGCTGGGAACCAAGACGAGAGCGAGGAACTGCGGCCAGCGGACGAGCTGCGGGCGCTATCTGACGACGGGATCATCGCGCACCGACGGCGAGCGTCGTGCCGACTCTTCCATCCAGCTGTGGACCGAAACTGTGGCCGCCCCCGAGCAAGAGAGAGAACGAAGCCGTTTGTACGACCCTCCCCCACACTCACAGCCTCACGACGCATCGCCCGGCGTCTGCTTTACGCAAAGAATTTAACAAGTGGCAAAGAAGACACACAACACGCATTTCGGGACAAATAAGATCGTTCCACAAAGTTATCTTTGTGTTTCAAGAAGGGTTGCCATTCCAAGGTGGTGCGTTAAATATCAACTGCTCGTGAAGAACATTGCTGCCCATTGAGTTACGTGGATACGGTCATTTAGAAGTATTTTAGCCGTTCGTTTTTTTTCTTTTTAATTGCATAATCTTACCAATGAATTAATTGATAAGTACTTTTGCCTTCGGGACATGTTTCTTTATTGCCTTCGTATGAATATCGTTGCATGAATTTAATAAGGACTTTTCCTATCACCGTGTATGCTCGCGTTACTCTAAGGAATTAATAAATTATTCTGTTACCCAGTTTAACGTGATCATTGAGGGTTAAATGTATGAATCGACATCTCCAGGAGTACTGTGTTGACAATTCCAAGCATAAGAGTTTGCATATTAGAGTGTTATGTTTTTTTTCTTTGGTTCTTTCGGTAAAGTCACGTAGAATGAGAATAAAATAATAAATTGATAAAATAAAATAACACAATAATATTCTCACGACGTTTCGGCCACAACAGAAGCAGCCTTCATCAGGTGAAGGGACGAGACTGTCTGGTAGGACAGCGCTGACCAGACAGTCTCGTCCCTTCACCTGATGAAGGCTGCTTGTGTTGTGGCCGAAACGTCGTGAGAATATTATTGTGTTATTTTATTTTATCAATTTATTATTTTATTCTCATTCTACGTGACTTTACCGAAAGAACCAAAGAAGATGAATCCTTGCAGTCACGAAAGCTTTAAATCGAAATGTTATGTTTTTGTTTAGAAATTAAAATTGCTTAACCCAGAAGTGTCTGAGTGGTGCCTTCCTAAGTTCATGAGAAATAATCTGAATCATAAGAACTGTATCCTGCGGTGAGATTTGAATTTGGAGACCTGATAGAAAACACTAAGACATAATCAGTAAATGTTAAAGCGAGAATAATTGTATTATACCGATTGATAATCCGAACCTAGATGACGAAGCCGAGCTTAATCTAGCATACTTAGAGCACACCTGCATAACTTCATACAATTGTCTTATCCCGACTGATAATACTACCCTCGACGAGGCAGGGCTTAATTATCATAACGGTGTGCATTAGCATAATCGCAAACATTCACATAAGTTAATATGATTATCTCTCTAATTAGCATAATGTGTGCGCATAATTACATCAATTAACATTATTTCGGACAATTACGCATTTTCCCAAATTTCATTTAATCTTTATTATTTTCATTACATTTTCAAGACCCGGCATATACAACGCACGGCAACTGCGAAGATGAACCTGGCGGCTCGGGTTCACGAGATAAACTTGTTTTATCATCCTGGTTTTTCTTTTCAGCTACTGTAAAAAACGAAGAGAGAAAAAACGGTTTGGAAGTTGAAAGATAAATGCAGTGCGAAGTTTCAGAAGGGGCTCTAACGGTCTTTGTAATCTGCGCCGCCGCCGCCGCCTACTCTCCGGTCCTCTACAGGCCCACTAAGGATTTGACGAATGTACATTCAGCTATAAAAATAAACAAACCGCGTGAGGGGAGCACCAGCCGGCGCCATATTTTACATTTTATTCCATTGCCGCGCCGCTACCTGGCAATGCGAGGCAATTCGGACACATTATGAGAGGCACAAATGAAACGAGTGCCATTTTTTCCCCGCAATTTGATTCCACACGTGATATTGGCATCATGCGACGAGACAAAATATCCATTAGAGGAACGAGCCCATTGGCATTGATCGATTTGCTTCTGACAGAGCATCTCAGAGTACTTTATATACGATATGCGCCTTAATCTCATCTCAAACATTTAAAATTCACTCCGCCCCTCCCGTGTCAGCTGTCCCGTGTGGCACAAGGTGACTTCAAGTACCTGGCTTACAAGCTGACGTTAGTCTACAGTTCCTTCAAGTGATCATAATTTATCTACAAGATGGGAGCTGCACTTTTCCCACACGGACTACTGCAAACTAAAGTTCGTCCGAAAATTGCAGTCAGGCAAGCATTTGTTTATATTTGTAGTGGTGAAATTTATGCAAATAAAGTGAAAACAAATATGTATTGTCATTTTTTTGTGTGTGTTTGCAGTCATTGGTGACCGGGCTTTGACCATCATTTCACTACACTTGGAACCCAGTTTAATCAGGGATGGCAGAACCCAGAATATTGAACCCAGCATCTTGGCAGCGCTGGCTCAGCGCTCTGACACCTAGGCCACCCGACCAACTCTTGACATTTGTATTTTTTTACAGAAAAACAACGGAGGCCCAACACTCGAGTGAGCTGACTTCTAATACCCCAAGTTACCTAACAAGAATAATTCCTGAATGAGTGACCTTAATATTTGTTTGGACTCAAACCCTGATTGGATTGCAAGCACAACCATAAGGGATATTTCTGCCGGTTAAACTAAAAATGCAGCCTGTGCAAATTTTGCAAAGACAGATGAAGGAGGCCATAGTAATACTCTTCTGCAGAGTGGCGGGGGGGGGGGGGGCGGCGGGGAGAAAGTCAATAAGAAATAAACGGTAAGTCTACAGCAAAAGTGTGGGAACAACAAAACAAAGTAACGCCGCCACCATGCTCTGAATGCGATGGAAAAGATATAACGCACGTCAATATTGGCAGGCCCGAAGACACTTGCGGGCTTGGTGGGGGGGGGGTGGAGGGGCTTCTCTCTCTTGAGAGTGAGCGGGTCGCGGGAACATTTATTTCAGTCGCGGTGGATGCACGCGCAGTGTTCAACGCGCCAGCGGGTGTGCGTTCGGCCGCGAGGTCCAGCCGGCGGAGACCCCGGCATCACCCGAGTCAATAGAAATCAGAAGAAGCCTACGAGCGAGCTGCAAAGACGATCGGGCAAATTCGGCGGACATACACCAGCCGCACGAACGGCATCTGTTTGTCTGGGGTTTTTTCAAACATTGCCTGGAAAAAACAATTATTGCTGCGTGACTTTTGTTTTTTTTTTTCCTCCAGTGAAGCTGCCAAAACTATTTTATCCTTGACATTTACAAAAAAACATTGTTAACTTAAAAAAAAAACCCGAACGTAGGAAGCACACGCGACAGATGCCCGTATTAGGATTCTAGCGGGAAGCTGCATTGGGGCTATAGCTGTTGGTAAGCCTGGAGAGAGAGCATATCTGTTACGTGGTCATGGGAGAGGCGGCTCATAAGCTACATTTGGGAGAAGGGCTGAGCTCAGAGGCTATAATCTCGCCTTTGTGTTGGTACGGCAGACAAGCCGGGAAGGCGCCTTGCATGCCTGCGCACACGCATGGCGGAAAAAAAAACCGTTGCGTGTGCTATTTTACCGATGCCCAGTTTGACTCTGCATGATGAAACTATTTGAACATTTTTTTCTTATTTTACGAGGGAAGGCCCACTGAGCTATATGTCCCTTTTTACTGGTAGGAAACGTAGTGGACTGGAAGCCCAACCGGCATTAATTCACAGGAGGCAGGGGATTGATTGTGCATGTCTGTGGGTGTCTGTCCACGTGGGAGGGGTGGGGCTGGGTGGAGAGGGGAGGGTAGGGAGGGGTTGGGTGAGGAGGGGCTGGGTAGGGAGGGGTGGGAGGGGTGGAGCTGGGTGGGGAGGGGCTGGTCACCCCGTGGTGCCCTTATAAAACTCAACGTTTAACCTACTCACGCCGGCTTGTGCCCGCCCTCAGTCGGGCATATTTGCGGAATACACCACGTCGCCGTTGACCCTGGCCACTGACCGAGCAACCCAACGTTCCTACCAGCCCCCTCCGCAGGAATGTGTTTCAGAAGCAACCTGGCCACAAGTGATAGCCCAATAAAGTGGCTCATCACGAGGAAATTTATAGCAGCCAAAAACTCAAAAACGCACGTACCTAGATGTGGAGGGAAAAACCGGAGGACCCGGAGAAAATTCCACGCAACTACGGGGGAGAACACGCAAACTCCAAATATACAGGCGTCACGGTCAGAGATTCAACCCAAGACTCCTGCATACCAGGCAAGGCAGATAACACCTCGCCACCACGCCACCCTTGGAGAGGTGAAGGCATGAAGCGTGATGCCTTGTTGAGGTCAAGGAGAAGCCCCGCAACGGCTTGTTCACGACGCTGCTTGCGGAAGAGCCTCCACTTGAGGGAGCTCTCGGGAGCCGTTCTGCAGGATAATCGATCTATTTTCCTACACTGGCCACATTTTCTTGGAAGAGGTGGGAGAGCACCCACCGTTTACTCCACCCAACGCGACCTCGGCGTTCTTCGCAGGGTTGAGCCTGGACAGTGCTTAGATGCGCGGCCACCATGCATGGTAAGCTTACGTGGGGGGCTTAGTTGTGGGCAGCAGAGGGTAGTCACACAGAAGAGTCCTGTACATCATTCATTACTCCCGCGTCTATGCTCGCCCACCTTCACCAACCCATGCCGACCGGCGTGTTAGGGAGCGCCTATGCAGACCTTCACAGGCGCTCACGAACACCGCATGCCTCGGCATTCTCTTAAGAGGCTTTGCAAGGGGGACCCTTGTCTTTGCGAGCGTGCGAGCGTGCGTGCGTGCGGTACCCTGTAGGTGGACTCCTCGGTGGACGCCGGATCGAGATGGATTGACGGGCGGCCGCGGTTCGCACGACGATCGACGCCGGCGACTGCAACAGAGTCGCTCGTCGCCGCCGTCACGCTCGCGTCCGTGCCAGGGCCAGGGCTGCCGCCCTTCCGCCTGCACTCCCCGGGATGAGTCACCCCCCACGCTCTTGTTAATTCCCTACGTCATCATCAGCCACGAGCAAGCCACTGCTTCTCTTCCCTACATTATCATCAATATCCGTGAACAGTCTACTAAGGCCCAATGCCTTACATCACCATCAGCCATTAACAAATCGACTGCTCAATGTCCTACATCATCATCATCGGCCATGAAGAATTCACTGCTCAATGCCCTCATGGCTGCTCTCTCTCGCGATGTGCCGTATCCTTTCTCAAAGACGCCGGCGATCATAGCCTTCCTCTTCTTTGGTTCTTTCGGTAAAGTCACGTAGAATGAGAATAAAAGAATAAATTGATAAAATAAAATAACACAATAAAATTCTCACGACGTTTCGGCCACAACACAAGCGGCCTTCATCAGGTGAAGGAACGAGACTGTCTGGAGGACAGCGCTGGAGCGAACACAGCCAAGCTCAGATCGCGACCTTTAAGCTGTGTGAGAAGAAAGAGCACCTTGACAAAGGAATTAGCATAGAATTTATCATTGAAATAGCTGAGTGATTAGCTTGTGACTGGTCACAGAAACGGCTATGTTAAAGTCAAAGCCTACACATCCACAGAGGCACCTAGTACAAATCAAACAGGAGAATTTAGCATTGAAATAACTGAGGGATTAGCTTGTGACTGGTCATAGAAATAGTTATGTTAAAGTCAAAGCCTACACATCCACAGAGGCTCCTAGTACAAATCAAACAGGATAATTTAGCATTGAAATAGCTGGGTGATTAGCTTGTGACTGATCACAGAAATGGCTATGTTAAAGTCAAAGCCTACACATCCACAGAGGCACCTAGTACAAATCAAACAGGAGAATTTAGATTTCGATTTAAAGCTTTCGTGACTGCAATGATTCATCTTCTTTGGTTCTTTCGGTAAAGTCACGTAGAATGAGAATAAAATAATAAATTGATAAAATAAAATAACACAATAATATTCTCACGACGTTTCGGCCACAACACAAGCGGCCTTCATCAGGTGAAGGGGGCGAGACTGTCTGGTAGGACAGCGCTGGAGTGAGAGAGCCACGTTCAGATCACGGCTTTTAAGCTGTGTGAGAGGAACAAAGAGCCTTGACAAAGGGATTAGCATAAAATTTAGCATTGAAATGGCTGAATGATTAGCTTGTGACTGGTCACAGAAATAGCTATGTTAAAAGTTAAAGCACACATCCGCAGAGGCACCCATTGTTAAAAGGAATTAGCATAGAATTTAGCATTGAAATAGCTAAGTTAAGGCATACACATCCGCAGAGGCACCCCTTGACAATGGGATTAGCATAGAATTTAGCATTGAAATGGCTGAGTGACTCGCTTGTAACTGCTACAGAAATAGTTACGTTGAAGTCAGAGCATACACATTCACCGAGGCACTTAGTACAAATCAAACAGGAGAATTTAGCATTGAAATAACTAGGCGAATTTAGCATTGAAATAACTGGGTGATTTGCTAGTGACTGGTCACAGAAATGACTACACATCTGAGCTATTCACAGTACTATATAGTGAACCAATAAAAACTAAAATATAAATTACCTTCATGTTATCAATAAACTCTATATTCTGTGACCAGTCACTAGCAAATCACCCAGTTATTTCAATGCTAAATTCGCCTAGTTATTTCAATGCTAAATTCTCCTGTTTGATTTGTACTAAGTGCCTCGGTGAATGTGTATGCTCTGACTTCAACGTAACTATTTCTGTAGCAGTTACAAGCGAGTCACTCAGCCATTTCAATGCTAAATTCTATGCTAATCCCATTGTCAAGGGGTGCCTCTGCGGATGTGTATGCCTTAACTTAGCTATTTCAATGCTAAATTCTATGCTAATTCCTTTTAACAATGGGTGCCTCTGCGGATGTGTGCTTTAACTTTTAACATAGCTATTTCTGTGACCAGTCACAAGCTAATCATTCAGCCATTTCAATGCTAAATTTTATGCTAATCCCTTTGTCAAGGCTCTTTGTTCCTTTCACACAGCTTAAAATCCGTGATCTGAACGTGGCTCTCTCACTCCAGCGCTGTCCTACCAGACAGTCTCGCCCCCTTCACCTGATGAAGGCCGCTTGTGTTGTGGCCGAAACGTCATGAGAATATTATTGTGTTATTTTATTTTATCAATTTATTATTTTATTCTCATTCTACGTGACTTTACCGAAAGAACCAAAGAAGATGAATCATTGCAGTCACGAAAGCTTTAAATCGAAATTTAACCGCCTCTACGGGGAGGGATTCCACACATCCTTAAGATCATTCAACAGACTTCGGGATAAGAAGGCTCAACTAATCGAGTCTCTCACCTTTCTGAAGAGATGCCGCGACTCTAAGGTAATACCAACCGCATTTACACTAACCTCTGCTGTTGCAACTTCTCTCAATGCAAAACGAATTCTAGCTAGAACTAGCTTCGCTCTTATCTCGGAAAAAATCAGACTTACACGCACCGAACTCGATCAGTTAGACAAGACACTCTACAAATCACACTTAAAATTGACAGCAACAATGTCTACATCGGATTGGGAACATGTAGACAATATGACTACCTCTTCGGCTGCCACTATGTCGAACAAATGTAGGGACAATTTGATTTCCAAATTCAATCACCTCTCCAGCAAAAAATCGGATCCACACACCGAAAAGATAGACGTCAACAAAGTCGTAATTAATCGCAGTAACAGTTCCATTTCTGATGGTCTGAAATCCGTTTTAGCTAAAGGTCTAAACTTTGCTGTCACACCGAGACACTTACCGGTTAATGATATCATTGCCATGTCGACGTTGCACTCAAGGGCTTGAGTCACATCTCTGCAGACGTAGCAAGATCTGAAATCGCTGCAACCCTCAAAAACGCTAAGTTGCCACCTAGCAACATCAGCAAAGACGAACGTTTTGAATTATCTCAATTAAAAAAGAGGGATGATATTGTCGTTCTCTCAGCCGACAAAGGCAATGCCACTGTCATCATGGACAAAACAGAATATAACAACAAAATTCAAGAACTACTCAACGATGGCAGCTATACAAAAATAAAAAGAGATCCCACCAACAGCCTGGTCACCAAAACGAACAAAATTATCTCTGATTCAACAGCATTAATTGATGAGATCAAACAGTTCTCGTTGAAACCCTCTGCTGCCAGACCACCAAGATTATATGGCCTTCCAAAGATACACAAAGAAGATACACCCCTTCGTCCCATCGTCTCTACTATCAGCTCCCCCACCTACAAACTGGCACGTTTTCTGGCTGATATACTGCGACCTTTCACTGGAAAAACCACCTCTGCGGTACTAAATTCTACTCACCTGGTATCGACAATCAAAGACATTTCCCTGTCCCCAAACGACCTGCTTGTCAGTTTTGATGTGGTGTCCTTGTTCACCAAAGTCCCGGTACCTGACACCATCGCTATCATTGAAGACCTGGTTCATCAAGGACTGCATACTGATGTACCCCCCCTGGTGAGACATTGCTTAACCAACACATACTTCACCTGTAATGGAACTTTCTACAAACAAACTGAGGGCACCCCAATGGGCTCCCCCCTATCTCCGGTTGTAGCCAACGTATTCATGGAAAAATTTGAAACTGACGCCATCCAGACTGCCACTCTACGCCCGACCTTATGGAAGAGGTACGTTGACGACACCTTTGTCATCTGGCCACATGGCCAGCCTGCTCTAGACCAATTCCGCGACCACATCAATTCCATACACCCAGCCATCAGATTTACCATGGAGGTCGAAAAAGATGGCAAACTACCCTTTCTGGATGTCTTAATTAAAAGGAGACATGATGATTCAATGAGCCACTCTGTCTACAGGAAAGCTACCCATACAGATGCTTACTTGAAACCGGATTCCCACCACCATCCATCCCAGAAGAACTGCCTCATCAAGACTCTATACCATAGAGCCCAATGCATTTCCGACCAGGAACACATTACCAGTGAACTCAAGCACGTACACCAGGCTCTCAGGGCTAATGGCTACTCCGACTACACAATCCGCAAAGCCATCACTCCAGTCATGAAGAAGGATCCTCTTGTGGAGCCACTCAAAACCATCACCTTACCCTACATTGCAGGGGTCACTAAAAAGATCTCCAAAATCCTGAATAAACACAAGATCCAGGTCCGATTCAACACAGTACACAAAATCCGTGATTTAGTTCCATCTGTAAAAGATGCTCTTCCAGACATACAGTACCCGGGCGTTTACAAACTAAAGTGCCTCTGTGGTAGTAGCTACATTGGAGAAACCAAAAGACATATCTCGGACCGCATCCGCGAACATAAAGCAGACTTGAAACACGGTAAGACGAACTCCTCTGCCGTGGCAGATCACTGTTACAATTCAGTGGGCTCACATGACATTGACTTCTCCAAGACGGAGGTTCTTTGCAAACCAACTGGCTACCATGAGAGATTCGTTCATGAGGCCATTCACATATACAAGCACAGAGACAATTTCAACCGAGAAGATGGATTCAGGCTTAGTAACCACTGGAAAGATGTGTTAAATAATTTCTGTTCTTAATTAATTGTAATTTTACGATGACCTTCAGACCGCAGCTCTTTCGCCAGCATTGCCTCTTAATACCTCTCACACCACGGTTAATGGTATGGTTTACAACATGGAGTATACTAGGGCTTCGCAGCTGTCTCTCTCCCCCTCCTCTGTTCCGACCATGGACGAACTCGTCCGTCTGAACGGGGCCCGTAGCTATCCGTGGTACGGAAATTTGAGGGTAAGAATCCACCCATTTTTTCGCCATATAGCATTGTGATATATAACGACTCATGGTTGGTAGCTTAGCTGATTGGAGAATATAGAGTTTATTGATAACATGAAGGTAATTTATATTTTAGTTTTTATTGGTTCACTATATAGTACTGTGAATAGCTCAGATGTGTAGTCATTTCTGTGACCAGTCACTAGCAAATCACCCAGTTATTTCAATGCTAAATTCGCCTAGTTATTTCAATGCTAAATTCTCCTGCTTGATTTGTACTAAGTGCCTCGGTGAATGTGTATGCTCTGACTTCAACGTAACTATTTCTGTAGCAGTTACAAGCGAGTCACTCAGCCATTTCAATGCTAAATTCTATGCTAATCCCATTGTCAAGGGGTGCCTCTGCGGATGTGTATGCCTTAACTTAGCTATTTCAATGCTAAATTCTATGCTAATTCCTTTTAACAATGGGTGCCTCTGCGGATGTGTGCTTTAACTTTTAACATAGCTATTTCTGTGACCAGTCACAAGCTAATCATTCAGCCATTTCAATGCTAAATTTTATGCTAATCCCTTTGTCAAGGCTCTTTGTTCCTCTCACACAGCTTAAAAGCCGTGATCTGAACGTGGCTCTCTCACTCCAGCGCTGTCCTACCAGACAGTCTCGCCCCCTTCACCTGATGAAGGCCGCTTGTGTTGTGGCCGAAACGTCGTGAGAATATTATTGTGTTATTTTATTTTATCAATTTATTATTTTATTCTCATTCTACGTGACTTTACCGAAAGAACCAAAGAAGAGGAGAATTTAGCATTGAAATAACTGAGGGATTAGCTTGTGACTGGTCATAGAAATAGTTATGTTAAAGTCAAAGCCTACACATCTACAGAGGCACCTAGTACAAATCAAACAGGAGAATTTAGCATTGAAATAGCTGTTTGATTTGTACTAGGTGCCTCTGTGGATGTGTAGGCTTTGACTTTAACATAGCCATTTTTGTGACCGGTCACAAGCTAATCACTCAGCTATTTCAATGCTAAATTCTATGCTAATTCCTTTGTCAACGTGCTCTGTTTCTTCTCACACAGCTTAAAGGTCGCGGTCTGAGCTTGGCTGTGTTCGCTCCAGCGCTGTCCTCCAGACAGTCTTGTCCCTTCACCTGATGAAGGCCGCTTGTGTTGTGGCCGAAACGTCGTGAGAATTTTATTGTGTTATTTTATTTTATCAATTTATTATTTTATTCTCAATCTACGTGACTTTACCGAAAGAACCAAAGAAGATGAATCCTTGTAGTCACGAAAGCTTTAAATCGAAACATAGCCTTCCTTTTAACTCTGCGCAGGATATTCACCCGGAAAACTCGACGTCAGATACTCCCACGGGCGCATCCAATTGTTCAAACTGCTCACGTAACGTAACTCTCCGTCTTCTTGCGCCTCTCATTTCCCCCAGTCAAAAACAAGGGCTGCACGCTTAAAATTTCCATTGATGATATTATATATATTTTTTTTCCCAACCTGCGAGACTTTGCCAGTTTTTGCACACCGCCGCCGCCACCACCACCGGCCGTGGCCGCGGCGGTGCGCTGACGCGGCGCCTCCGTCGGTCTCCTGCGGCTCGGCACGCGCCCCCTGCGCGCGGGGCCAGGGCAGGGCCCCGCCGAGCCGTCGCGCTCGCTCTCCGACGTGTCGTCCACGTCCCTCTTGGCTCGCGGTCGCGCCGGGGACGAGGAAGCCGCGGCATCATTCGGAACCTAATGAACGCCATAAACAAAGACAAAGCATCACATCTGTGCAGCCTGAACAGACTGCTGGGGCGAGTGCTGTTAGCGAGCACCTATGGAGGCCGGCAAAGTACAGAGGGTGGCGTGGGGGTGGCCGGCACCACGCACCGACGACGTCTCCAGTGGCGATGTTTACACGCCGCACCGAGTACTTATTTGAGGGCGAGTCGACCTAGGTCGAGGCGCAGGACCGGTTCAGATAATCGTCACTGGTGTTGGCCGTGAGCGGGAATCGATCGCTGGTCGCCGGGTTCATAGCACGGCACGCTAACCACCACCACTACACCACCACCACTGGCAGACACGCTTGCAGACAAGGTCATCGTCAACTTTGAATCTTACCCATGTATAGATTGTTAAATTGTTATGTGCAAAGCAATTGAGGGATTGCGTGCTGTCTTCGTGTGGTCTGGGACTGTTATTGTTGTTTTGCTGCCTTGCCCCAAGCTTGCATTTGGTGTTGACAAACCGGCCGTAATTTATGTACTCGTGCAATTTGTACTTCTACACTTGAATTACATCCACTTGCCTTCCCGCGTTCGAGCACCGACGGCGTCTTTTTTGTATTGTTTGTTGACGCAACTTGCTGATCCGGTCCCTACTGGACATCGGCGCAAATAGAGCTTCATATCTCATCGGATTCCTCAAGGACAAACAAAGATTTCCGATTCTTTGTGCACCCTTGAGTAACCGTTACATTTCGTCCTAGTGCGCTGAATGAATACACCGCTAAGGCTGGCGTGACACACGAGGGTGTTCTTTTTACAGTCGGCAAACCTTCTCCTGAACACCTTTTGTATCACCCATGGGCAACGTTTACACCAGGGACTCATTAAAAAAATCCGATACACACCGATGTACACCACGCATGCATACAGTGAGGGAAAAAAAGTATTTGATCCCCTGCTGATTTTGTACGTTTGCCCACTGACAAAGAAATGATCAGTCTATAATTTTAATGGTAGGTTTATTTGAACAGTGAGAGACAGAATAACAACAAAAAAATCCAGAAAAACGCATGTCAAAAATGTTATAAATTGATTTGCATTTTAATGAGGGAAATAAGTATTTGACCCCTCTGCAAAACATGACTTGGTACTTGGTGGCAAAACCCTTGTTGGCAATCACAGAGGTCAGATGTTTCTTGTAGTTGGCCACCAGGTTTGCACACATCTCAGGAGGGATTTTGTCCCACTCCTCTTTGCAGATCTTCTCCAAGTCGTTAAGGTTTCGAGGCTGACGTTTGGCAACTCGAACATTCAGCTCCCTCCACAGATTTTCTATGGGATTAAGTTCTGGAGACTGGCTAGGCCACTCCAGGACCTTAATGTGCTTCTTCTTGAGCCACTCCTTTGTTGCCTTGGCCGTGTGTTTTGGGTCATTGTCATGCTGGAATACCCATCCACGACCCATTTTCAATGCCCAGGCTGAGGAAAGGAGGTTCTCACCCAAAATTTGACGGTACATGGCCCCGTCCATCGTCCCTTTGATGCGGTGAAGTTGTCCTGTCCCCTTAGCAGAAAAACACCCCCAAAGCATAATGTTTCCACCTCCATGTTTGACGGTGGAGATGGTGTTCTTGGGGTCATAGGCAGCATCCCTCCTCCTCCAAACACGGCGAGTTGAGTTGATGCCAAAGAGCTTCATTTTGATCTCATCTGACCACAACACTTTCACCCAGTTGTCCTCTGAATCATTCAGATGTTCATTGGCAAACTTCAGACGGGCATGTATCGGTGCTTTCTTGAGCAGGGGGACCTTGCGGGCGCTGCAGGATTTCAGTCCTTCACGGCGTAGTGTGTTACCAATTTTTTTCTTGGTGACTGGTCCCAGCTGCCTTGAGAGCATTTGATAAGATCCTCCCGTGTAGTTCTGGGCTGATTCCTCACCGTTCTCATGATCATTGCAACTCCACGAAGTGAGATCTTGCATGGAGCCCCAGGTCGAGAGAGATTGATGTTCTTTTGTGTTTCTTCCATTTGCGAATAATCGCACCAACTGTTGTCACCTTCTCACCAAGCTGCTTGGCAATAGTCTTGTAGCACATTCCAGCCTTGTGTAGGTCTACAATCTTGTCCCTGACATCCTTGGAGAGCTCTTTGGTCTTGGCCATGGTGGAGCGTTTGGAATCTGATTGATTGATTGATTGCTTCTGTGGACAGGTGTCTTTTATACAGGTAACAAGCTGAGATTAGGAGCACTCCCTTTAAGAGTGTGCTCCTAATCTCAGCTCGTTACCTGTATAAAAGACACCTGGGAGCCAGAAATCTTTCTGATTGAGAGGGGGTCAAATACTTATTTCCCTCATTAAAATGCAAATCAATTTATAACATTTTTGACATGCGTTTTTCTGGATTTTCTTGTTGTTATTCTGTCTCTCACTGTTAAAATAAACCTACCATTAAAATTATAGACTGATCATTTCTTTGTCAGTGGGCAAACGTACAAAATCAGCAGGGGATCAAATACTTTTTTCCCTGACTGTACGCACGCACAGGCAATACAGAAGGAAAAAAACGTTCAGCACACTATCAGGCGAGCTACTGTATTGCGTAGGCTATTTAATTATTACCAACCATTTATTATATAGGAACATCATGCATATGGAAATTCAGTCACTCGAAAAAATAATTGAAATAATTCGTACATAGTGCCTTTCATTGTTCGTATATGTATTATATAACAATAAAACTTAGGTATTAACTGGTAATATAAAAAATATATACGTGTGGAATGGAAATAATAGGGTTTCATTATGCTTTAATTAGGCAAATATGCTTATCCTATTTGAAATCTCATTATTTTAACATCGGATAATTCGCAAAAGTTGAACACACTAAACGCTTCCAAGTTGCGAATCTCTCGCAGCGCTAAGCGGCGCTCGGAAAATAAATAAATAAACTACTTTAAAAAGAGGGAAAAAAAAGGAAATTAACGCAATCGGACTGCTCTGAAATGTTCCGAGTGGATTCTTATTGTTCCCATAATTTCTTTAGAAAAAGAAACGGCAGTATGAAATAACTTTTGTTGCTGTTGCAACGACAGCTCATCTCGCCGCTGGAGGCCAGAACAATCGCTTCGATCAATAGGAGACCGCTTCAAGCACCCCCGGTTATTTCGTTCGGAGAGAGAAACGAAGAAGGCCGGTTGAGACAAACAAAACACGAAACGCGGGAGGAGAAGACAGCCACAAAGAGTACGGACCTGAGCAAACCACGGCCTTGTGCGCTCCTTACGGTCGAACGTCCGTAACGAAAGTGCCAGCTTTATTAATTCTAATGGCTTTGCGCCGTGGCTGAGCGGGCAAACAGCTGCAAACTTATTTGTTAACAACAAAGGACCCCCCTCGCCTCCTCCCTTCCCTGCTTGCTTCCTGGCTTTGTGGGGGGGGGGGGGGGGGGCGGCGGGAGAGAGAGAAGGTTGGAGGCAACGCTTTGCCTCCTAATGAAAACGGCACTCGGAAAACCAATCGAACGAGCGGCCGCCACGACTTCCGTCGTTAAAACAACCGACGGCAAACATACGGCCAGGAGAATCCTCGGCCGAGGTGCTTGCGGGGGGGTGGGGGGGGGGTTCTGCATTGGGATCAGAATCAGAATCTTGATTTAGACTGGAGGAATCCGATGAGCTATACAGCTCTTTTCACACAAATGTCCAGAAGCGCTTGACGTGTGGGAAGAAACCGGAGTACCCCAGGGAAAAGCCACGCATAAGAGGTGATCCTCATGACTGCCTTCTCCTGACACTAGCGCCTTGCAGCACCATGCCTACAGCACCTGGCAAGCTCTGGTGGTCACGAAACAAGCTCCATGCAGCTTAGCTAACGAAACCATGACAAAATTTGGTGCATTCTACTTTTGGCAGTAGGCACTGCCTTATAAGTAGAAGGCTAGCATTGTAAGGAATGGCTTCAAAACTAAAAATATATATATAAATGTGAGCTAACCATCTTAAGTAGCCTTACAATGATACATCAATTAATATTTATTCATAAGAGCAAGATAATTAGATGGAATTACATGTGGACGAATCAGTTGTTTACAATTGGTATGTACGTACAGTGAGGGAAAAAAGTATTTGATCCCCTGCTGATTTTATACGTTTGCCCACTGACAAAGAAATGATCAGTCTATGATTTTAATGGGAGGTTTATTTGAACAGTGAGAGACAGAATAACAACAAAAACTCCAGAAAAACGCATGTCAAAAATGTTATAAATTGATTTGCATTTTAATGAGGGAAATAAGTATTTGACCCCCTCTCAATCAGAGAGATTTCTGGCTCCCAGGTCTTTTATACAGGTAACGAGCTGAGAGTAGGAGCACACTCTTAAAGGGAGTGCTCCTAATCTCAGCTTGTTACCTATATAAAAGACACCTGTCCACAGAAGCAATAAATCAGATTTCAAACTCTCCACCATGGCCAAGACAAAAGAGCTCTCCATTGATGTCAGGGACGAGATTGAAGACCTACACAAGGCTGGAATGGGCTACAAGACCATTGCCAAGCAGCTTGGTGAGAAGGTGACAACAGTTGGTGCGATTATTCGCAAATGGAAGAAACAGAAAAAAACTATCAATCTCCCTCGGCCTGGGGCTCCATGCAAGATCTCACCTCGTGGAGTTGCAATGATCATGAGAACAGTGAGGAATCAGCGCAGAACTACACGGGAGGTTCTTGTCAATGATCTCAAGGCAGCTGGGACCATAGTCACCAAGAAAACAATTGGTACACACTACGCCGTGAAGGACTGAAATCCTGCAGCGCCCGCAAGGTCCCCCTGCTCAAGAAAGCACATATACATGCCCGTCTGAAGTTTGCCAATGAACATCTGAATGATTCAGAGGGCAACTGGGTGAAAGTGTTGTGATCAGATGAGACCAAAATGGAGCTCTTTGGCATCAACTCAACTCGCCGTGTTTGGTGGAGGAAGAATGCTACCTATGACCCCAAGAACACCATCCCCACCGTCAAACATGGAGGTGGAAACATTATGCTTTGGGGGTGTTTTTCTGCTAAGGAGACAGGACAACTTCACCGCATCAAAGGGACGATGGACGGGGCCATGTACCGTCAAATCTTGGGTGAGAACCTCCTTCCCTCAGCCAGGGCATTGAAAATGGGTCGTGGATCGGTATTCCAGCATGACAATGACCAAAAACACACGGCCAAGGCAACAAAGGAGTGGCTCAAGAAGAAGCACATTAAGGTCCTGGAGTGGCCTAGCCAGTCTCCAGACCTTAATCCCATAGAAAATCTGTGGAGGGAGCTGAAGGTTCGAGTTGCCAAACGTCAGCCTCGAAACCTTAATGACTTGGAAAAGATCTGCAAAGAGGAGTGGGACAAAATCCCTCCTGAGATGTGTGCAAACCTGGTGGCCAACTACAAGAAACGTCTGACCTCTGTGATTGCCAACAAGGGTTTTGCCACCAAGTACTAAGTCATGTTTTGCAGAGGGGTCAAATACTTATTTCCCTCATTAAAATGCAAATCAATTAATAACATTTTTGACATGCGTTTTTCTGGATGTTTTTGTTGTTATTCTGTCTCTCACTGTTCAAATAAACCTACCATTAAAATTATAGACTGATCATTTCTTTGTCAGTGGGCAAACGTAGAAAATCAGCAGGGGATCAAATACTTTTTTCCCTCACTGTAAAAAGGTTAAAACAATTAAAACTGGGATTATGCACAGCAATCATCGCCCCACACTGGCAGACATATGCCCGATTGCAGGCCAGGTGCCAGATCACCTTGGTGCCAAGAAGGACAGCTGCTGCTGGGGGTGCCCTTTCAAACACGTGAGATAAGATGTGATTTCGATTTAAAGCTTTTGTGACTGCAGGGATTCACATTCTTGGTTCTTTCGGTAAAGTCACGTAGAAGGGAAATAAATAAAAATCAAACATAATATAATACAATTCTCACGACGTTTCGGCCATAACGCAAGCAGCCGTCCTCAGGTGAAGAAACAGAGCTGTCGGATAGACAGCATCTTAATGAACACTGCTAAGCTTGGCAGCGTATTTTAAGCTGGGTGGGAGGAGAGAGCCTTGACAAAGGAGTTTACATATCAACATATCGGAGGGTGATGTAAGATGCTCCAAGAGGCCCTGGCGTATAGTAGGGCGCTGCATCAAAAAACAATTATCATCACATGATCTTTGCAACCCACCCCCATATTTAACTTGCTGGCCTGCCTTGCTGGACATCTCTGAAAAGAGCTTTATAGCTCATTGGATCCCTCCAGTCTAAATACAGATTTTGATTCTGAGATCAGAGCACTGAGCCAGGCACAGCTGAGATCTTGCATTTAATATAATTGGGTTTCAGCTGTCAGTTCAGTGACTCAATCGGGCTCTCAGGTGGAGCAATTTGATGGTATCAGCCTAGTCACCATTGGCTACACAACAACAATTTAAAAAAAACCCATCAGTAAATATGATTTTGCACGTCACTTGGTTTAATTCTGGCCACGAGAATGAAAAATATCGGTTTGACTGTCAGGTGACAAATAATCCCTTTGGCAGACTGTTTGCAAAAGTGTCCTCCTTAATCTGTAAAGGGTACAAAGGCCACCCCCCACCCTTAAGGGTTATTTGGGAGAAATGCTGTGAACAAAAAAAATAAATCTCTTCCGTGGATCGTTCTCTAACACGCGTTGCACAATGCTTCATGAGAATTCCAAATTGATTTTTCATCTCTCATCATGATGCCAATAGCAGTAGGAAGAAATTACAGTGGGGGGATGGGTGGGGCAAAATATTCAACAAATTACAGGAAAAAAATTGTGTAAAAAAAAATGAAAAATCGATGCAGGTAATGAATCATGACCTTGAATCGTGACAATTCACGGAATCGTCATCGGAGGGGGCGGTGTTTGGGGAATATTTCTCCCAAATGTAAAGTGAGGGAGGGGGGGGTGCCCAGTGCCCAAAAAGTTTGCCTATTATATAGTTTATTGGAATGAGAGAATGTTTGTGACGGATATGGCGAGGTTTTTTTTTTATGTGTGCTTGTACACCACTGGCAGTAGAGTCTATTAATATTTTATACGACATTGAGAGGACCCCTTAAAATTAACAATGCGCGGGCGAAGCCCAAACCACAGCAGAACGAGGCCCCCCGCGGCAGGCCCCGCTACACATCGCGCTCTGCGGATGCCCAGCAGTCGCGCACTCGACCCCTAATGAGCGTATCAATGTATTTATTCAGCAAGGCATTCATGAATCTCTAAACTTTTTTTTTCAAGGGACCTGCATTGACATGTTTGGGAAATTCATGTTTTTTTTACGGAGAAGTAGGTTGGTATGTGGGTAAGAAAACGGGAGTACACCGAAAAAAAAAACTAGTCTATGATTAAATTTTGATACGTAGCTTTCGTGACTGCAGTGATTCATATTCTTGGTTCTTTCGGTAAAGTCACGTTGAAGGGGAACAAACAGTCATCATCACCTGATGATGACTGTTTGTGTTACAGTCGAAACGTCGTGAGAATGTTATTGTTTTATATATAATATTATTTTATTGTTTCCCTTCAACGTGACTTTACCGAAAGAACCAAGAATATAGACTATGATTGTGAGGGGGGAAATCACTCAAAGGTCCACAGGGATGGGTTCATGAACCAACTTGCTGTACTGACAATATCTTGGCCGTCTCGCGTCCGTGGGTTTGGGAGTTTCACAAAAATACACGACCCACCAATGTTTGGCTCCGAATAGCTGCATCACCATCGCCACCACTGCCACCACCGCCACCATCGCCACCAAGGAGCTATCGTGCCTCCTCTCAACGATAAATTAAACTATTTTTATTTTACCACATAAGGCCCACTGACCTACGTAGCTCTTTTTCAGAAGTGACCTGGCCACAAATGATAGTTCAACAAAGCGGCTCATCATGTGGAAATGTATAGCAGCCTAATACTCGAAATGCATGTTTATAAAAGTGGAGGGAAAAACCGGAGCACCCGGAGAAAAATCCACGCGGCCACGGGGAGAGAGATGCAAACTCCATATAAACAACTGGCGTCAGGGTTGGGATCGAACCCACGACCTCCTGCAAACTAGACGAGGGGGTTAAACATCTCACCACTGCGGCAAGAGGGCGGAAGCTAGGTGGTTGATGTGGCGGTGAGGAAACCACCCTTACCTGCCGTAGCAGGGTCGAAATCTGCTCTTCCAGCTTCTCGATTCGCCGCTCGCTCGCTCCCCCACCCGTCCCTGGTTCCTCCTCACTCCCGTTCGCGGCGTCTCCCTGCCCGGTGGTGCGGTGCCGTCGGTAGCACGGTGCCGTCGGCCCCTCCGTGCTCAGCGATGCACCCTGAGAACCCGCCGGAGAGGGGAGGGAGGGGAATCCATCAACCGCGCAGAGGCCCTAAGACTCCATCCCGCAGCACGTCATTCCCACATTATTTATGTCGTTCACCCAGGAAAAGAAAGTCTCACGACTCTTATTCAGAAGGGTCCAGTCAAAGATTTCGCGGCAGGGGGCGAAATATGGATCCCCTCCGACGCCGGCACACAATGGCCTGCCCTTGCGAATGTCAGGGTACCTTTAATGTATGCTCGGTGGCGGACGAGCGCAATAGTATCATTACGGTTGATACAGCCGCAGTAATCAAAATAATAAACATCAGCGCGGCCGATGGATTTGTGCCGTGGACGTCCGCAACAAAGGCCGAACGAGCGACCGCCGGGGGCATTGTCAACGAACCCCGATCTCTCAGAATCAGGCGTGCAATGATTAACAAAATATGCGCACGTTATACACTGTGTTAACTGTTACTATTATTATCCACTCCTGTTTGGGTCTGACAAGTTTAAGAAAACCACAAAATCAGCACGGTTGGCTACGTATGGGTGCGAAAGAAGTTCAACATACGTACGCAAATTCGTCACCCCCGTCACCCTTCAACTTAAAGAAAAATCCTCTTCTATCCTTTATCCCCTGCCCACCACACTCATGCGGTACTGCCCATCCAACCGTAAGCTCCAAAAGTTTCACCCAGAATTTCTCCTTACGACCTCTCTCTGGTTTGGACAAAGGATTTCTTTTTTTTCTTTGTTTCCCCATCCCCTTTCGTAAATGTAAAAAAATGGTCCACGAATGAAAGGCGAAGTTGATAGCAAATGTTTTTGTTGTAAAGGTCTGGCTCACCTTTAGCCGTGTGGAAACAACCAGATCAATTTACTTTCCCTCGACCCCAGAGTGCAGACTTGCTGCCTGCTGCAATGCCTGCAACTATTCACACCTGGTTTGGTATCGCTACAGCTTCATATTGTATATAACGGATGGTGGCTGTTTCGAGACCACTTGTAAAGACGCTGTAGCATGGGGGTGCGGGACTTATTCCTTCCAGAGGGGCGAAAACGACTTTCATATACTCTTGGCGAGCATTAGACAAAGGTCCCCTGCATAGCTTTTAACAGACTGTTGGGGCAAGTGCTGTTCGCGAGTAGTACCTATGAAGGCCGGCATGGCACACGAGGGGGTGGATGGCCAGCACCACACCCGGCCGTGCCTTTGACTCCCTATTATGGTCAGTGGTGTTGGTGGTCGGGTTGTCAGGTTCATAGAGCAGCGTGCTAATCGCTTTACTAACGCTCCCCACATTAACACAAACACACAAAGATCTCGGTCACTTCTGTTATGCCAGAGGCGAATGCAGTAGCAAAAGTGATCGAGCATGCTAAAATTAAAAACAGCGATGCCAGGTTAAAAAATAAACACCTCTCGTATCTGATTAGTGCACCGAGGATGCTTGCAATTATGGCTACACATATTGTTTGAGATCCGTGAAAATTATTATGATAATGATCATCATCTGCTTCGTGATAATAAAGTTGATGACTACAATAACGATGATTAACATGAACAAATTTATAATGGCAGACCATTGCATAACGATCTAATGAGTATTTACAAAGATGATTTGATGCTTTTTTTGGTTTGGCTAAACACGGTCACTGCATCCTGCACTTTTAGATGCGCTTCTGTGGCCGTCTGAAACTCTCTTCCCCTTCCGATATTAACAGGCCACTGGAGCTGTGCATCAAGGGACCTCCTTTGCCAGTACCAAAATATGAGAATAGGTTTTCCCCTTTTTTCCGGCAACAAAACAGTTGTTGAGATGTTAAAACACCAAACTGGAATCATGTCTACATTAACCACAATACTTGTGGTCAGAATGCAAACAAAAAACACTCTGATAATATATGTGGCATTGTCTTTGAAACTGATTGGTCCACACCAGAGACAGCTTTCTTTCGAGCCTCGTCTCAAACGGTGTTCTCTGGTGTGGACCAATCAGTTTCAAAGACGATGCCAATATATTATCAGAGTATGTTTTTTGTTTGCATTCTGACCACAAGTATCGTGGTTGATGCAGACAAGACTCCTTGTAAAAGGTTTCGGTTTGGTGTTTTAACATCTCAACACCACCTGGAGCTGTGCACTTTTAAATCTACATTGAAAACTCATTTCTTTAGAGCTGCTTTCTGCGCGTAGTTTGCCGTCCTTCCCCCGCACCTCCGATTAGCACGCTTGGCTACGTACGGTGCGAAAGAAGTTCCGTACACCTACACAATAAACATAATGACGACAAAAAATTTTGATTTAAAGTTTTCGTGACTGCAGTAATTCATATTCTTAGTTTTTTCGGTAAAGTCACGTTGAAGAGAAACAACAAAATAATAAAACATATAAAAAAATAGTGTTATATATATTTTATTATTTTGTTGTTTCTCTTCAACAAAATAATGAAATATATATAAAATATTGTTATATATTTTATTATTTTGTTGTTTCTCTTCAACGTGACTTTACCGAAAAAACTAAGAATATAATGACGACAATTATGGCTCTGGTAATAACAGTGAGACGCACGCGCCGCCTGACCCGCTCGGCGATGCGGTCGTCATCACAATGGTCAAGGACGTCCAGGAAGTCCTCCAAATCCCGGAGCTCTGCCAGCCTCGGTTCCTCCCTAGAGCTGCTCAGCTCAGTGCCGAGGGCGTCGTGGCCGTCCAGACTTTGCAGCGAAAGGACAGCCTCAAACACACGCTCCCTGTAGCCTGCGGGGAGCACACCACGCCCGCCGGAGACACCACTCTTCCCATCACGTCTTGCAATTCCTCCGAAGGAAGCCGAGTGGCTCCCGAGGTCGGAGCGCCGCGCCGCCACCGCCCCCCCGAAAGACTAGGTTCGATTCCAGGCCTATGGCTGCCCGTGACTAAACTTGGTTCTCGAGTGCAGTGAGTTGGTGGTCTCTGTCCGTTCGCCAAGGTCTGCACAAGTAACATAACACGACCTTGGCCCGTCTCTTGCTTTGAGAAATTAATATGGATTTGCCATATATATATAAAAATTACATTCATTAATCCCCCCTTCGCACGTGAAGGGCTCACAAGTGACGTCACCACATCTATCCCTCTATTAAAAGGAACGAAAAAGGAGGATTTCTCCACAAATCTGGCTGTCGCCTGATGAAGCTGGTTTTAATTACTGGCGAAACGTCGCACTCAGATTGTAAATGTTGTGGATTTGCTCTCCAATACACCGGTGTGCTGTACTAGTAACGAATTGGCACGTTCTCTTTACGTGACAAACCTCACTAATTGGCTGTGTGGGGTGGTGCCGGGTTTAACGGCACATTTATATTTACGCGATCTAACCTAAAAAAAAAGAGTATATTAGGCCTGTCTCATCATTAGAAAGTTCTTTGCCTACGAAAAACTGGAGTGCCCGATAAGCAGGCTTCAATTGTAGATTTACAAATTACATGAGCCCCCCCCCTTAATGGGGCGAAAAAATCACGACACAATAAAAACGTTCTGCTTACCGAGCAACACAAATGGGCAAAGACGACAAAAACTAGAACCACATTAACGTAACCGCCATCATCTTACATCGGGCACGCAGAAGGCACGTCACACACGATTACGTGTAATTTTCAACATTCTTGATGCTTAATAGAGGCTGCGTGTTTGTTGCATCTAGCTCCATTATTAATTTACTGATGTCCCCATTGTCATCATTAAAAAAAACACACAACACCAATTGTACGCATGGCGCCTAAACGCGACACAGCATCTCAAGATGCTGTCAACGTACCGAAGTGTCAAGGAGCTGCAATATCTCTCGCCGCGGGTTTTGTATTTAAGCAAAACATTCCAAGCGCTTATCGCTCGTCGGCTGCTTGCCAGTTGCAGGAAGAAAAAAAAGAGTTCACAAAATCAGAGTCCGATTCGCGCACTGTCGAGAAAGCGTTGGCGAAGAATTTTTCAACAGAGCACGATGGGCAAATGTGCAGAAAATAGCGGCAAATCTGACCGCAATTACGCCAAATACGAATCAGGCCCCCCTCTGCTCTATTTGGTCTGTCAAGTCCGGAATAAAACAAAAAAACTGAAGGAAGACAACAATGTTTTAAAGGTCACCGGAATACCATGGGACGGAGTGGCTCAGCTGGCTGAACAGCGGAAATTTCCGAGAGGCCGGGTTATGTTGTACAGCACGGGAAGGACAAAGGTCTAAGGTCCGTCTCACTCGAATATCAGAGGCATGTATGCATGTTGAACTTCTTTCGCACCGTACGTAGCCAACTGTGCTAAGCGGAGGTGCCAGGGGAAGGACAACAAACAAAACACAAAAAGCAGCTCTAAGGAAATGAGTTTTCAATCGAGATGACGTAAAAGCGCATAGCTCCAGTGGCTTCCTAATATCAGAAGGGCGTTTCAGACGGCATCAGAAGCGCAACTGAAAGCGCGCGATGCGGTGACCGCCTTTTGTCCCGACGGCGAGCCAAAGAGCGCTGCAGACGGCAATCCAAGCGGCTCACCCGTGACGCGACACACCGGGTTGGCCTGCCCGTCCTTGCGCAGCACCAGCACGGAGAGGCAGTGCAGGCCGCCCAGCGCCGCCACCAGCGCATCCACGTCGGCCAGCCGATTGCCGTGCGCCTCCAGGTGGCTGAGCTGGTAGTCTGGCCCGTGCAGATCCCGCAGGCCTGAGCCGTCAGGAGACAGTGGAGAGCAATAGTCAACAAGGGGCGCACGTAGGTAACCGAAAAACGCTGGAGTCGGGACATCCTGGGGCCCTGACAGTTTCAGGGGGCGTTTTTTCCACTGGCTCATTGCTGTGCCGAGCTAGAACCAAACTGTGATATACTGGCCTTACGAGACATCTGAAGCCGACTCTGGGCCAGGCAGGGCTCAGGAGTGGGGCTATTGATGTGTGTATGTACGTACGTACGTTTAACTTCTTTCGCACCTTACATAGCCAACCGCGCTTATCAGCAGTGCCTTATGAAGGTAACCACTTCATTCTGGCTGTGCCTTTGGCCTGTTCCTCATCTCCCCTTTGTTTGCGGCAGATCCGTGTGCTTAGAATGTATCGCTGCCCAGCCGATGACTCTCACCTGATCCTAATCCACTCACGTAAACTCCACATTACATTTGTATTTCCAATGTTATGACCTCTCCCCCTCCCCATTGCTGATTCCCACCACTGTTACCTCCCATTGTTTTATCAAGGACTCGGTGCTGAGCGCTTGCCATTCAATGATTCACTCACTCCCTGCCACTCAACGATTTGTAACAATTTGATTCAAGAATCGATCATCTCGGATCCACTCTCTATCATTTGCACCGTTTCTCACTTCTTTTGTGCACAGTTTTGTTCAACCCAATTAGCTGAAACGTGATAATGGCGTCGTGTTTGCATAGAATTTTCTTACAATAAGATCAAAAAGACTACAATGCACAAAATTTGCGTGAGAATTTATTGCGATCGAAGAATAGACGGGTTTGGGACACGCCAACCGGGCACCAAGAAAAGCTCACCGGCATTGGGTCTCAATAAATGCATCATCGTCAGCATGTGGACTACATGAGCATCGAGCCTCAACTGCCTTGCCACCCACCAAACCTCCACCACCACGACCCGCGACTCCATCAGTTACAAACACCATCAATCCTGGGTCCCTGTCTGGATTCCTTTATTTCACCTCTATCCCCGTTTTTATCCCCAACTCCTGTTGTGGCCATCTTGCTATACCGACGTCATCAGGCGCTCTCGAATGAAACGTCAAGATGCCATCATGCTCAAAGCCACTGATGCCATCACAGCTCGCCGATTCCTTTATACGCTCCTCCGCCAGACTCCGCCATCTGCTGAGCCAGTGGCCATCGAACAAAGAGGGTCACCGCATCGCACGCTTCCAGATGCGCTTGTGCAGCCGTCTGGAACGCTCTTCCTTCCGATATTAGGAAACCACTGGAGCTATGCACTTTTAAATCATCGAGATTAAAAACGTATTTCTTCAGCACTGTTTTTTGTGTTTAGTTTGTGGCAACTGCTCCCCACCCACGCACCCCCGATTAGCACGTTTGGCTACGTACGGTGCGAAAGAAGTTCAACATACATACAGTAAAAGACTTGCCCTAACCATAGCCCACCATCCATCTGGTCTTAACCAAAAAACGGTTACTCTTGAACAAATTCGTAATTTGCGTAGAGCAGGGACACAGAGCCTGGCGGACGGAAGTAGAACTCCAACGACCTTAGTTTTGATTCCTGGGACACAGCCGACATTAGTAGGCAATTGAAACACTCATTCATCTCACCCCCCCCACCCCCCACCACCGATCGCCTTCGCCGACCCGCACCCACTGTCAATGTCAAAGCAGGGTCAAACACTCCCCATAATCGGCACGGCGTGGGGAAGGGGGGGGGGGCACTCGTTATTGTTAATTTCGCGTGCAAAGTTTCGCAGGGCGCCACCGTTCAATCGTTCAAATCGCAACGTGCGCAACCCCACTCGCGGCGTTCCCAGCGACGGACGCAGAGCAAAAAACGATGACGTCGTCGTTGACGTAGAAGAGCAGCAGCGAGAGAGAGAGATTCAAAGAAAAAAGGCTGCGTAAATAGGCTCTCGTGAGTACGAGCGAGTGAGAGTTGACAAAATGGTACGCCGCCGGGTAGTGCCCTGGGAGTTGCTTTTGCTAACTGGAGATGGTTACCAAAATCCCAGCCAAGTCACTCAAACAGCAAGCAGCCGAACGTTGAACACAGGGTTAAGGCCCCTTTGCGCTAGGCTTACACGTAAACGCCAGCCTCGGGTCAAATGCATTTTAAATTAATTAATGCGATTTAGAACGTTTTACAAAAAACCCCCCACAAAGTTCAATGCAATTACTGAAGCTTAAAAAAACCTGCACCACTTTAACTGTTATTGCCTAAATAAAAAATAAATGTAAACGTGGATTAGAAGTAGCTTCAGGTGTGGAAAAAATAACACTGCCATTTATAACCGTAATTGATATACGTGTGTAACGACGTAAATGGAGTCACTATGGCGTTTAGCGCCAGCTACCGTCACAAGAGTGGAGCTGTGCGTCTTGGGCCTCTCTCGGGCACCAGAGTGGCCATGCCATGGAAGCGGGCCCCAGGGGGCATAGTCCTGGTGACAGTGAGAGAGAGGTCGGGTGAGGACGTGACAGTCTTGTTGACCCCGAGAGGGCACGTGACCAGACGAGGTGGCAAGGGGGGCCCAAAAAGAGGGGAGAGGGACACGTGATGTAGGTGGCCAGAGTCTTCGGGAAGGATCTGGAAAGGGGCGTGGCTAAGGGCAGTGCTCGGCCATGCCGCGGCCCATGAAGGCCGAGTCCCGAGCCCCGATCCGGGCTGTCTTCTGGAATCAACCCGTCGGTGCTACGTCTCTTCGATCCTCGGGTCTTCGATGTTTACACTCGGCATCGTGGGTCAGGCAGTGTTAGCTGACTGACCCGGCTATGTAGTTACCCCGTTGTGGTCTAGTTAACTGTGATCGCTGTAACGTTTAAGTAGTAGCCCCGTTGGGGGTGTGGTAATAAACGTGATGCCTCCAAGTTCAAGTGTGCGCCTCCGAAGAACTCACTACAAGTGTAACCAAAAAATGGATTTAATGTGAGTTTACAATCATCAAAAAAAATCATTAAACGTTTTAAATGTGTTCGCACACGGCTGTCCCTGTACGAAATTTTGTCTGGCGGGGGGGGGGGATGCCTTCGACGCTACTCTGAGCCTCGAGAACCGAAACTAAATCCCAAGCACCTTATCTTACTCATTCACGTGCGTCGCATTAACACACCCGCCTGTTACGGGGGATGACCGAGACGCCAAGCTGCCAATACTGCGGCTATCCTTCCTGGGTAAAAGTAAATTATTAATGCGTATTAATTTAAATTGGTTACTTCAGCCACGAAATTGGCTCGCAGCGCTGCGATTTCCAACCACGTCTGCATAATTGGGCTCCGACCGCGGCAAAGGAGTCGGGCAGCCGCACGGCTTAACTTCCCCGGGAGCAGGGAGTGTGGCTCACAAGCGTGGGCTCGGCATTGATTTATTGGGCGTTACGGTGGCGGGGAGAGCTCCCTCCTCGGAGCGCATCTCTGTGCCCGATGAGTTAACCGTTCCAAACACGGGCAACACACGGAGATAATTTATCAGATTATTTATTATTATTTAAACAATTTGGATTAGCGGAACGTTAAACCCAGGGTAGCAATAAGGGGGGGGGGGGGGGGGGAGTGTGGAAAAAACCCCGCATTAATCCCCGAAGAATGAATTACGTGATAGAATTTAATGCGTTCCAGCCTCAAATAAAATTACGGTTGATTAAACAGCATTATTTTAAGTCTGTTTATTGTTTAGAGATGGCACAACGTGGGGGGAAGTGAAGGATGGATAGGAAGGGGGTATCCAGCAGGGAGAATTACAAAAGAGAATGTACTGGTGAGCAAAAATGTTAACGAGGCAATTCCAGCTTGCCATCAGAAAGTAAATTATCCTTACAAAGCCATAATTTTAAATAATCATGAGCAACCCTTTGTCAATCCACTACCGGATGACGGCTTCCCAACGCCGCGTCCATCATGTTTGTTGTTTGGCCACACTTCACGATGCTGGTCATTGCTGGTTGGTGAAGGGGGGAGGGTGTGTGGGTGCTCAGGCCCGGTTCAGATATCAACCACCACCGATGTTGGCCATTGGCAGAAATCAAACTCAGATGGCAGGTTTCATAGCACAACATGCTAACTGTCCATGCTAAACAAGAAAACCTTTGGGGTTTGAGCTGTTATTCCTGTCACCTGCACAAATTACCGTATTCTACAGCTCTTTTGTTAATCCACTGCTGGATGAAGGCCTTCCCATACTGTGTCGGTCACAGGGGTAGTTTGACCATACTTTACTATGCTGGTCAGTGGCAGGTTGTTGAAGGGGGTGGTGGGTGCCCAGGAGAGGTTTAGCTATTCCTCGCCGCCGATGTTAACCTTGGCCTGGAATCGAACTCAGGTTTACAAATAATTCTTGGGGCTGGAGGCATTAGTTGCTTTTACACAAACGCTAAAATGCCAGACATTTAAATAAATAGGAGCAGACAACCTTTTGACATCTACTCCTTACCGTTTGGCGTGTGAATGTTAAAGGTGAATTTTATAGCCACTAAATTTTACATAAACAAAGCACGGGTGAAAAAAAATATATTGGCTGTACAGCCAGAGGGCAATTTTTTTTTTGCCATTAACTGCCACCTCTCAATGCAATAACTGTGGAAAATTAAATGTCATGTGCTACCTTAGCACAATGCAAATGCTCTCCTCACTCCAAACGGCGATTGTTTCTATAAATGTAAACTAGGCAACATGGTGTGTACTCTTATATTTGGTTTGTTAAAGAATTATATGGTAGGTGGATAAGCAATATAAAAAAAAACGTTTAAAAGTTATAACCCTGTGTCAATCCACTGCTGGATTAATGCCTTCCTATGCCAGGTCGCGAATGAATATTGTTTGACCATACTTCACCATGCTGGTCAGTGTTTGTTGGTGAAGCAACAGCCCTTGACTGGTTCAAATATCACTAACCACTGATGGTGAATGTTTTTTTTTTAAATCTAGAGTGAAAACTCCCTTCTTTAAGAACTGCTTTTTGTGTTTAGTTTATTGTGCTTCCACCGCACCTCCGATTAGCACGGATGGCTACGCACGGTGCCACAGACGTTCAACATACACACACGCAAACAATCGAAACTCAGGTTATCTGGTGCGTAGCATACTGTACAAACCAATGTGCCACTGCCAAACCACCAATCAATATAACCTGAAACTTATTTAATAAATTATTCCACAACAATCGAATTCCTCAATTATTAAATCAAAGCGCTTCCCCCGCTCAAACAAGCACCAGGGCGCCATTTAATGTCCGTTTTAAACCTTTCCGCTTCCCCATAGAATAAGCACTATGGATTTCCCACAAGGCGATACTAATTTTTACCAGCGGCGAAGGGAGAATGACGTCTGGGCACAGATAACTGCCCACACGGCCGCGATTTGAACTCGCAAAATTCAAACCTCGCGTGAAGCGCTTCTGACCAACGCACCCCGAGCACAACCTCTTATGAGGCTGGGGATCCGAGTGCTCGAGTTGGGACGGCTGAAAACCGAGGTGGGGAATCCCTCGTGGTGAAACGCGGCGGTTGACTCGCCGGTGTCAGCCGCGCGGCAATATATTGCGCGCGTGTGTGTGTGTGTGCGACAAAAAAAAAAAATTCCCATTGCAAAAATTGCTGCTTGCGCCCGACACTTCTGAAAGAAACAGGTTAAAGAGGCGAGGTGGAAAAGAAAAAAAAATCCCCCGTTAAGTTTGAGTGTCACCTGCAAAAAAAAAAAGCAATTTGGAGGAGAGGCTAAATGACCCATGCGATAGAAAAAGGATCCTGCGGGTCTTAATCTGTAGTTGCTCGCACGCCGCATATATTCCCTGCCGTAAGCTCAAGGGGGTTCCAATAATTGGAAAAGGTGGCCCCCCACACTGCTACCGAGGCTTACAGCTCATCGACAGTGGACACAATAGATATTTCTAGCAAGTTGACAAAGCCAGTATATTAAGGGATCATCCATATTGGTGTGCACGGAAATACACAAATGACCATGCAAACGGGCGCACAGGTTAAATGCACGGGGGCACACTGATCATGCTGATTAGTAAAAACTTTTTTTTTCATTGATACACGAATGCTTTTTTGGAAAGTGTAATGTTGCCAATTTTGCCTACGAACTATAAACATCGAGAAAAGGGTATTTGGCAAGCCGTGTGGTAAGTTTCACTCAAGGTGGTTCTAGAGGTCAGACCACTGAGCTGGCACCGCTGAGATCGTGAGTTTTGAATCCAGGTCCGAGCTGCCCGCGATCAATCCGGATTCTCGAGTGTAGGTGTTGGCAGTCTCTCAGCTATTATGGTTACAAAATGAAGCGTTGGCTAAAATCGTGCACCAAAGCGTGCAATTATGAGAATGATTGTCATGCAACACGGAGAGGAAGCGCAGGTGGGGGGAGGTGATGCTCCCTACTCTGTGGACCAGAGGTAACTTGGAAGGGATTTTAAAAGATAGCTCTGTGAAATCCGCTTCGACGGTCAATTCTCTAAAAAGTTATGGGTTTTGCACTTCTCTCATAAAGCCACGAATGCATGCTCCGTCTCGTTACACACGACGCTCACGGCACAGCAGCGATCCAATTGGGGGAAAACATAAAATAAAATGTTCCATAGCAAATGGTTTAGAGGTATTGTATTTTTCATGAAAACATGCGGCAGCGTCCTTGACCAGACAGAGGGATGATATTACATTTCCCAGGCACAGACGTGAGTAACCTATGGGCTCCGCAAGTTCAAGCGCAACAAAACAAGCCACGCCGGGGCAGTTTGGACCGTCTCTTACCCACGAGGTCGGTGATGCGGTTGTAGGAGACATTGAGCCAATGCATGCACGCCAAGCCCTGCAATCCTGCAACGATAAACGCAAACATTGCTTAGACAACGACTCGACGCTCGCGGGCAAGCCCGGCGTGGTACATTTATCGGGGGCAGTGCCACCGCAAAGCCCTTTCAACAATTCCTCGGCGGGGTTTGCGCAGGCGGACTGCGTCAATAACGCCGGGGCTGCAAAGCTACCTTGTCGTGCCGTTTCACCCGTGTGTTTGAGGAATCGTAGGCTTAAGAGTTAATCTCCCCGTGTTGAATCGACCATATGCCATCACTTGCTGGATGACCAAAATAACCTGTCAAGGGGTATAGGTAGGGGATTTCAGTTTTAACCGATAAAACTGAAAATAACACTGCAGCTGAGACCGTTCGGTTGGATTTTTTTTGTACCAATGCCATTGCCGAATACCAAAAAAATACAAAAATGTCCTTTTCGCTAAAGGTCTCCTCCCTCGTCGCCAGACTCGTCTCGCATCTCCAAACGAAGTGCGCGCGACGTGAACAGAATTTTCAACGGGGGGGGGGGGGGATAAATTGCCACATCCACCCTACGTACAAGACGACGACACCGCAAATTTTAATGTATACAGAGTGTTCAAATGTTTATGCATCTGTCATGCATATATGTAGGGGTACTATTTAAGTAAAAACGACGGTAATATATTGCAAATACATATTACATATCTGTGGGCAGGTCACTCACTCTTTGCTTTGCGTCAACATAATCTTATCGACTAGCCCAGTAAACTGGATGATAAGCTTCGTACACTTCTGCCGACCGGCTGATGTGGAGAAAGAAGCAATTGGAGTGGAAAAATTGAATTGTCTGAACCAGGAAGCCAGGTGTTGTATATCTTTCCTATCTATAGAAAATGCTTTTAAGAGAGTGCGTGGGTGTGGTGTGTATATACATGTGTATTGTTGAAGAACGGAGGCACACACTTGGCTTGGAGGCAACACGTTTATTACACAGCCCCAACAGGGCTAACTACATAAAAGTACACATGCTAACGAGACCCCCAACAGGGTAACAACACTACTTTAACGGGGTACCTACATAACCGGGTCAGTCAGTAACATTCTGACTGACCCACGATGCCGAACGAAGGTGGAAGATCGAAGCGACGTAGCGCCGAGGGGTTGAGTCCAGAAAACAGCCAAGAACGCTCTCGGAACTGCCCCTTTATGCTCCCGAGCGTGGCCTGGCTCTGCCCTCGGCCACGCCCCCCCCATTCTGGATCCTCCTAGAAGGTTCTGGGCCATACACCACGTGTCTCTCTCGAAACCTTTGGCCCACATTCTTACCCTGTCGTGGTCACGTGCCCTCTCGGGTTCAACCAGACTGTCACGTCCTCAACTGCCCTCTGACAGCCACCAGAACCATGCCCCATAGGGCCCTCTTCCATGAAATAACATACTCTGGTGTCAGAGAGAGGCTCTAACACTCACAGTTCCACTCTTTCATCAGTAGCTGGCGCTAAACGCCGTAGTGACCCAATAAACATCACTACACATGTACAGCGGGCAGCGGCAGTGCAGTGGTTAACGCGCTGCGCTATGAATCCGGCAACCCGAGTTTGATACCCGCTCACGGCCACCAATACCGGAGACTATTATCTGAACCGGTTTTAGACCTCCCCTAGGTCAACTCAGCCTCAAATAAGTACCTGGCGGAGGCGATTAAACATCAGCACCGGGGAGACAAAGGCGGTCGGGGCATGGTGCTAGCCACCCACCCCTTTCGTGTGCCACAGTGCCGGCCCTTCACAGGTGTTCGCTAACAGCACTTGCCCCAATAGTCTGTTGAGGCTACACGTGGGGATCTTTGTATAAATACTTGGGGAGAACTGGTGTAGTGGTAACACACGGGGCTACCATTTCAGTGACTTGGGTTCAATTACCGGTCACAGATAACATCAGTAGACTCAGGTATCGAAACTATTCTGGGGGCAATCTTCATTATCTCAGCCTTAAAAGGGTATTGGATGCCACGTGTGAATTAAACATTGGTGTTGTGGGCCACAGCTACCCTATTTGTTCGCCATGCTAGCCTTAATAGGTGCTCGCCAACAGCACTTACCTCCCGGTTCAATAAAGCTCAGAGAGGATCTGTCTTTTAGCATATTGGTAAACGACAAATAAACGGATAAGTATAAATCAAGAGCCACAAACATTTTAACCTGGGCACAACTTTAAAATGACAAAATCTCGTGAAGCAAACTATAAAAGCGCTTCCTTCACCAAAAAAATAAAAATTCTATTTCATTTACAGCCGTCGATAGCAACAAAACATCCGCAAGCGGTGCCAGACGGCGACACGTTACTGGCGTGCCCCCCCCCACCCCCGCGTTTACGAGATACGCCGACTCCGCTAACGTCTTCCGCGAGCGGAGCGCAGCCTGCCAGCTCCACCGCGGTCGTCCACCGTTATCGCTCGTTGCTAGTCGTCAACGCGGGGATGGATGGAGGATGGAGGATTGGGGGGGGGGGGGCATAAAGCACAATTTTCGCCACGGCACAGGTGTCGCCGCACCAATTAATCCTGGCTCTTCGCTCCAAACCGTTGAATAATTTAGCGTAGCATAAAAAAACGGATTCGCGCTCTCAAAGCGCCCGCGTTGTAATTTCTCAAGTATATTTCTAAGGCCGAGCGCCACCTTCAACTTTGAAGCCGCATGCAACCTGCTGCATCGATAAATTACACGCCAAGAGGTCTGAAAGAAACAAAGTAACCCGTGAGAAAACCGCATGTCTCGGACGAGACGAGCAGCAGAAGTGAAACTGTGAAAACTTAACTGCAGCTGCGCACATAAAATGCAACTCACAATACTATCTCTCGGACTTTGTTTGCAATCCGCAAGCGCTGTGCTACTCGGCTCGATGTCCGTCATTTCGCACACGACACACAAATGCATGGGATGACGGTCAAGCACAACTGCGAAAACCTACTCAGTAGCACCACCGTGCAAAGCGCTTGGAGTCACGTGACATTTTTTCCGGGTCCTCCGGTCTTTCCCTCCATATTTAGAAACACGTGTTTAGAGTATTTGGCTGCTATAACAATCGTACTTAGTGCTGTTTGGCTAAAGGCAGGAAGGCTAGCCACAGGAACATAGAAGTACGGTGCAGCAATCAATGTTTCTGTATTGTTCAGTAAGGGCTGCCAATCCGATAATTGCTTTTATTCATCCATTTTTTTTTTTTTCAAACGCGATCACCAACGACGCAAAAGCGACCGTACCCTGGACAGAGGTTAGGTGGTTGCAGGAGAGGTTGAGGGTTCGCAGACACGCCAGCGAGGCCAGCCCCTCGATTCTCTCGAGGCGATTCGATGACAGGTCCAGGTGCGCAAGCTGAGGGAGCCGCCCCAGGCCCTCCAGCCGTGCGATCTGGTTGCAGTGAAGGTTGACAGCACGCAGGCGAGAGTGCAACGGCACGTCGCGAAGGCTGCGAAGGGGAAGGAGGGAGGGTCGCGTTGTTTGAGAGCGGGTCGGGTGTGGCTCGGAGGTCTCGGCGCTCTATGTATGCATGTAGAACTTCTTTCGCGCCGTGCATAGGCTAATCGGAGGTCTGCCGAGATCATGGGTTCAATTCCAGGCAGCCATTTGTTCATATAATCGGGTTTCTCAGGTGTATGTATGATGAACTTCTTTCACGCCGTACGTACAGCGAGGGAAAAAAGTATTTGATCCCCTGCTGATTATGTACGTTTGCCCACTGACAAAGAAATGATCAGTCTATAATTTTAATGGTAGGTTTATTTGAACAGTGAGAGACAGAATAACAAAAAAATCCAGAAAAACGCATGTCAAAAATGTTATAAATTGATTTGCATTTTAATGAGGGAAGTATTTGACCCCCTCTCAATCAGAAAGATTTCTGGCTCCCAGGTGTCTTTTATACAGGTAACGAGCTGAGATTAGGAGCACACTCTTACAGGGAGTGGTCCTAATATCAGCTTGTTACCTGTATAAAAGACACCTGTCCACAGAAGCAATTAATCAATCAGATTCCAAACTCTCCACCATGGCCAAGACCAAAGAGCTCTCCAAGGATGTCAGGGACAAGATTGTAGACATACACAAGGCTGGAATGGGCTACAAGACCATTGCCAAGCAGCTTGGTGAGAAGGTGACAACAGTTGGTGCTATTAATCGCAAATGGAGGAAACACAAAAGAACTCTCAATCTCACAATGATCATGAGAACGGTGAGGAATCAGCCCAGAACTACACGGGAGAATCTTGTGAATGACCTCAAGGCAGCTGGGACCATAGTCACCAAGAAAACAATTGGTAACACACTACGCCGTGAAGGACTGAAATCCTGCAGCGCCCACAAGGTCCCCCTGCTCAAGAAAGCACATATACATGCCCGTCTGAAGTTTGCAAATGAACATCTGAATGATTCAGAGGACAACTGGGTGAAAGTGTTGTGGTTAGATGATACCAAAATGGAGTTCTTTGGGATTAATTCAACTCGCCGTGTTTGGAGGAGGAGGAATGCTGCCTATGACCCCAAGAACACCATCCCCACCGTCAAACATGGAGGTGGAAACATTATGCTTTGGGGGTGTTTTTCTGCTATGGGGACAGGACAACTTCACCGCATCAAAGGGACGATGGACGGGGCCATGTACCATAAAATCTTGGGTGAGAACCTCGTTCCCTCAGCCAGGGCATTGAAAATGGGTCGTGGATGGTATTCCAGCATGACAATGACCCAAAACACACGGCCAAGGCAACAAAGGAGTGGCTCAAGAGGAAGCACATTAAGGTCCTGGAGTGGCCTAGCCAGTCTCCAGATCTTAATCCTATAGAAAATCTGTAGAGGGAGCTGAAGGTTCGAGTTGCCAAACGTCAGCCTCGAAACCTTAATGACTTGGAGAAGATCTGCAAAGAGGAGTGGGACAACATCCCTCCTGAGATGTGTGCAAACCTGGTGGCCAATTACAAGAAACGTCTGATGTCTGTGATTGCCAACAAGGGTTTTGTCAACAAGTACTAAGTCATGTTTTGCAGAGGGGTCAAATACTTATTTCCCTCATGAAAATGCAAATCAATTTATAACATTATTGACATGCGTTTTTCTGGATTTTTTTGTTGTTATTCTGTCTCTCACTATTCAAATAAACCTACCATTAAAATTTCTTTGTCAGTGGGCAAACGTACAAAATCAGCAGGGGATCAAATACCTTTTCCCCTCATTGTAGACAACCGTGCTAATCGGAGGGGGTAAGGACAACAAACTAAACATAAAAAGCAGTTTAAATGAATGGTTTTTCAATCTAGATTGAAGTGAGTTGATGATGTCAGCCCAGTCACCAATTGATGCAAATATATACACACACAAAAACAAATAAAATAAGATTTGCTTGCACACTTAATTTAGCCAATTTCCAGCTCTGACAATTAAAAATGTTGGTTTAACGGTCATGCGACAAACATTACTCTCATATGGCAGAGAAGTTGGGAAAGTGCAGCCCTCAAATTCGTCGACCAGAGGTCACTTGAAGAAATCTCAGGAGTAGCTCTGCGATTATCTGCTTCCGTGGGCTGATGAGTTGCAATGCTCTGCGAGAGATCTAAATGGAAACTTCTTCTTCACGAAGTTGCGTTGATAGTGCAATTTGGATAAAATTGGGTAAAAATAACAATTAAGCGTGACAAGAGCGTTGTCCGTTCCTCCACTGGGTGTGCCAAAACTGAGCATCTCATGATGCATTGATTCATCAAATAAACTTGACCCTCACGTGCACTATCCGTGAGAATGAATTATTTATGATTTAGCAAAATTTAATGGAAATTATATGCTGTTACGTTTGTGCTTAAATGTACTATACAACTTGACTTCCTGGATTTTTACAATGACCTGGGGATCTTGTCCCGGTTATGTTTTGACGTGGCTTAAAACGAAACGTCACATCCAATTACGAGCTCTGGTTGACAGAATTCGTCCTTGAACTCGCCATTCTGCCGAAACGAAAGAAATTGGCGCGTCGAATGCTTGCACATGTAACAATGCGTTTGCTTGCACATGTAACAATGTGTTTGGTTGCGTCAGACGACGGGGGGGGGGGGGGGGTCTTTAATGAGATACATTTGGCCAGATCATTACCGGGGGGCGAACACATTAAATGATATGTTTGATTAAAATTGTCATGAACTAGGAAGGTAACACAATAATATAGTACGACCGGGGTGATATACACAACGAAAAATAGCGATCGAATCTGTAATACAATCTTAATCCGGAATCGTGAAAATTTATTTAATTGTTGCGGGGAAGGTGACTTTTTATCCCCCACTTCGGTACAAGAACTTCCACATCAAGTGAGGATGGGGAAATGAATGCACTCATTATTTCTTCCTGTACTTTACAAAAGTTGCATTTAAGAGTAAAAAACATCCTGTTTGCAACGTCCGCATTGTTCTTGATTCAGAGAATATTTTACATAATTGCCACATACCAAACACTAATTAATGTAATAGTGAAAATGATAAAATAAGGAACCCGAATAGTTAATATTGTTAATTAGCAGACATTCACAGGCGTCGCATTACCAAATTGCTACGTTTTTATTGTCTGTGCTTGTTTGAAATTCATAGCCCGTCTTCTGGGAGTCTTTCCTCTCTGCATGTCTCGCCGTGTGCCTGCCGTAGATTCCAGTGAGCATCCAATGTGCGGAACCGGTGGAAATCTGCGGAATCATCCATCTCGGGCTATCGTCAATGTATACATTTTGAAAAGTCACTCCCGCATTTTTAAACACGGAGCCACTCAAGTATTACAGTTAGAAACGGACTGGGCGTTTATGCAAATCTTTCAAAAGTGGATTTAGCGCGTGCACGTCAAAACCCCATCGTTGAATGTTTACGAAACAGCGCATGAGCTATTTTCTCAAAAGACAAAACCCTCAATGGCATTCATTTGCATCCGTGACTTTCACTCGGCCTCGTCTCCAACGCTCATTCCGACGTCGCATCGCGATACCAGCAGTGCGCCGCCTTCGCCCGAGGGGATTTGCTAAATGAATGCACCATCAAGGATAATTAAAGTTAATTGGGCTATTGCAAATCTGCGGAGGCGATGGTGGGAGGGATTGGCATACTGTTTAGAATATTTTTTGGAGGGAGGGATTGGGGGGGACAGGGATGTGCAGTTTCAAAAAGGGGAGTGGAAAAAGTTGATGCATAAAGATTGTGGGTGGTTGGGGGACTTCATAAAACTGAAATATTCACCCCGGGCAGTAGCACACACTGTGTTAGGGCTCCATTAATCATTATTATCTCCGAGGACTGCGTTTTCTGATAAGGCGACATCTATAATTGAGTATGACAAGGCTTCCATAAATCACCGTGGCCGACCATAAAAATATTACCATGTACAGAAAACCTCATAAAGCGAGTGTCAGCACAGGTCATAATGACATTTTATATAATCTTTTTATTTTACTCCCGCTATCACGTATTATTTTGTACGACAGATTTTAATCTGAGCTACTCGTCCATTTTTTTTTTTCAAAGTAGCATAAAACTGTAGCGTGGCGAAAACCCCATTGAATTAAAGTTATGACTTTAATAACGTTTTCCGTGGCATTATCGCCCCTTAAATGTTGTCCCACAATGGAAACGTAATGAGCTGAGATAGTGCACATTGTGTACTTTTGAATTCTAAGATAAGACGATGGTATTTTTTTAAACGAAGCCACAGCCGTCACCGTATCCCCCCCCCCACTCACCTTGTTATCCGTTTATCAATCAGGCAGAGCTCTTCAGAAGGATCGGTATCCATCGTGCGACTTATTTTTTTACTCATTTCCCATGGGGCGACAAGACCTTTTTAATTTGAGAGCATCCCGATAGATTTCTTGAGCGGAGTTCCTGCACGTAGACACAAAGCGACATACAAAATGACATCCGGGTTGGTTTACAGCGAAAAGTCGACATCGCCCCATTAGCATTGTCAGAAAGCTCTCTGATAGAGCACGCACGCGTGTCTTACAACAATAGCGAAACAACTGGGATCTTTCAATGACATACAAATAGGTTGGTACCGACAGACACAACGTGCAAGTTAACTATATGATGGGGGGGGGGGGGGAAATATATACAAGGATCCATATTGGCTTTTCCAAACGGCGTCAAAGAATCAGGAAATTAAAAAAAAGACTATGATGTAGGAAGATTAACACGTAGGCTTTCGCGACCAATATTATTCATAATAAAGGTTTTTGGGTTAGATCGCGTTATTTATAAATGTGTCGTAACCTTCCACCACCCGACACGGCCAATCAGCAAAAAAAGTGTCATATAATCACTAACACACATTACAACTAATTGCTAATCTACAACTCATTACTAATCATAACCATTGACTGATTACTAATCGATTATATAATTACAATACCCCCCCCTCCGCCTCTAATCACTGCACCTGATACGAGTTAAATGATGACGTCACCCTGCTGCTCTATTTAAAACCGGGAGCAAGCGAGGGCTTTACCATTCTGGCGAATTGCCCGATGATGCTGGATGTATTTACCAGCGAAACGTCGTACTCAAACTGTAAATGTTGTGGATTCACTCAACACACCGGTGGGCTAAAGCAGTTAATTATTTGTCTTTTGTCAACGTGACACTTTTTTTGCTGATTGGCCGTGTCGGGTGGTGGAGGGTTACGACACATTTATAAATAACGCGATCTAACCCAAATTAAATAAAATTAAATCAAATTAATTTACAAAGGAAAATAGACCCATCGGGATACAATACATTTTCAAGGAAACATTAAACTGCAACAATCCTGAAAGACACGTACTTTAAAGAACAAATTAATAATGCAGGAGATTGTAATGACTCCAGCAATACATTCTGAAAATGTATACACGACCTAAAGGTGAACCATTTTCTGTAACGTTTGCATTGATCATAGGACTCATAACTACCGCAATGCATTATTGGATTCACAACATCTGCCAGTTGAGACATTCCCATTACCATGTCACATATACCGTGTCCGTGTAATGCTCGCTAATGTCACTATTACACTAACGTGGCCCATTCGTTACACAATTAAAGCATGTCAGCTAAGATGTCAAGCTGTTCACAGCCCCAAGGGTTCTTTTTTAACGCACGTGGATGTGTGTGCAGCCCATATGTTTAATCCACAGCTGAATGAGAGCCTCCCTACTCTGTTCGGGTTGTGTGGGAGTGTGTTTGACCGTGCTTCACCACTCTGGTCAGTGGAGGTTGGCGAAGGGGTCCCTCACAGGACAGATTCAGATATCACTCGCTACTTAATGGTTCAAGAATCGGAAGAGGTGGTCCAGGTTCATATCAATGCGACACCGCCTCACCCCCTGAATGTTACATTATTCAAACTTAATTCACGTCCAGGCGGGAAGCCCCATTGAGATAAATCTCTTTTGTAAAGTAGAACTGGTGTGCAATGTAATTCGGCGCATAGCAATTATACGATCGTACCAACTAAGCGAAATAAGCCGAGACAAACAAAATATAGGGTTACATTTTGATTTAAAGCTTTCGTGACTGCAGGGATTCATATTCTTGGTTATTTCGGTAAAGTCACGAAGAAGGGAAACAATAAAATAATAAAAAATATAAAACAATAAAATTCTCACGACGTTTCGACTGTACCTTGGGACGCTGCCCGGATGTACGCATCTTATTAAATTGCAGTTCTTATAGGTAGGCTAAGAATTTACCTTTTTTACTTTACATTTTACTGTGCAATACAGTATTGTAATTAATAAATACATACAGTATATAGTTTATACAGTACGGTACTGTAAATTGCTCCGTTTTGCTAAATTATCACCATTCTGATTTAACTTAGTTGTTTTTATTTGAATTAAAAAATGTTTTACCTACGTGACAAGTGCCCGTCATCAAGTAGAAACAATCACAGCAATAAACAATTTGCTGAAGTGCCCCCCCCCCCCACTTCAGCAAATTGATTATTGCTTGTTTATTACTTGTGCTGCGCCCGAAACGTCGTGATTTAATTTACTTTATACCTACGTGACTTTACCGAAAGAACCAAAGAACTTGGTTTCCACCTCTCCCGAGTCACGCCTGGTCATTGCGAGTGACCTGGAAAGCCAAAACGCCGCTTGGGCTAGGCAAGAGACATTTGATCGCAACAAATCTGGAGGTTTTCGCACAGCACGGACAAAAAGGGTTTTTTTTCTCCAGCCTGTAGCAAGCCCTATCTGCTTATATGAACCATCCAGCAGCTAACGCTTCCCAAGCTTTCCCCCACCCCCCGCGGGGTCAGAACTTCACTCAGTTTGAGGTCACACAGCAATAGCCCTTACCCGCAATGGGGACACGAATTGATGTTACATTACAAGTATCGTGAAAGCATTAAGTGTCCGTCACCAACAATGTGCCCGCTCATAAAGCTTGCAGAAATCTCAAGAGATCAACTCGTGTGTCATTAAAACCACCTGATACCAACAGCAACAACAACAAACACACAAATGCAGCAGCAGCAGATATAATGAGGTTGCTCGGTCTTTATTAATAGAGCGGGCTCAAAAATTGGAAGGATGCGAGTTCAAATCCTGGTCATGGGATTTGACTCGGACAATCATCCGAGTTCAGGCTCAAAGACCTTCCCCTTCTTCCATCTGCCTCCGACAGCCTATTCTCTAGAATATAACGATGTGCAGTATCCATAATAGGTTTTTTTGGGGGGGGGGGGGGGGTTAGATCGCGTAAATGTGTCGTTAAACCCGACACCACCCGACACAGCCAATTAGTAAGGTTTGTCACGTAAACAGAGCATGCCAATTCGTTACTAGTACAGCACACCGGTGTGTTGGCGAGTTTAACGACTCATTTAAATATTTACGCCCAAATAGTTTTTTTTTTTAATATGCATATTGGTCGCGAAAGCCTACGTGTTAAACTGTGCAGTGTATCATACCGCCCGCATGATGTACAAGTCACACCGTTGATGTATACGTCAATCTCGAGATTACGATCGTATCGAGACGCTATCATCGCCGGCCAAGAACGATCCGCTGCCGGATGAAACACTCTCCAAGCCGTGGCATTACCTCGCAGTTCTGCGATGTAACAATCCACCGAGGAGCTGAACAGCGCGCGCCGATTTAATCGCTCCGTCTCTCACGGAGGCCGCTGTGCGACTCTGAATTGTCACATTCGCGACGGACCGAATAGGGCCGTGACGAGACTATTCCTGGATACATTTGCGATCCCTCGAAGCCTGACAACGCAACAAATCACGGGGAGGAATGAGGGTGAATCCCGATTTATTATATTCGTCGTCAAAGCGGCATTTCACTTACCCGGGGGGTCCGAGCAACTCTTCCCCGGGGGTAGGCGATCCAAACAACACCGAGGCTTCAACAAAACTTCGCGGAGCCGCGCTAGGCCTCCGGTTGGTTGAAAGTTGACCGACGAATCCAAAGCTAGCTACGATGCCCTATGCGAACGGCATTCTTCGTGAGAACGCCAACAATTGGCGAACATTAATGATGTCTGCCTTCAGTTGCAGTTTCGTTCGCCTTTGTAACAGAACTGGGCGCTCCCGGTTCCCGCGCTCGACTTTGAAAGTGGCGCCAAGACGCGCGCCACTTCCGCGTTCAGGTTTAAAGGGACCGCGGCAACCTTCGCCACGTGGTGACACGGCACGTGTTGGCTCGGTGGCAGCCTTCATCCAGCAGTGTATCGATCATGGCTATTAAAATCAATTGATGATGATTGATGACAGCGTGGATGTCGTTACACGTAACAATGGACATGTCAATCCACCGCTAGATGAGAGCCTCCCCACCACCGTTATTTTATTGGAGGTTGTTTGACCAGACTTAACGAGACGCTGGTAACTGCGGGTTGTTGAACGGGGTGGATAGTGGCCCTGAAAAAGTTTAGACATGTTTGCGGTACTGATGTTAGCCGTGTCCCGGAATCGAACTCAGGTTGTCGGGTTCATAGCGCAGGGTAGTGATATGAATCCATCAATTCATCTGCAGTATGTTGTATGCCACGGACTTAAGTTAACCCTGCCACTTCGAGAGGCCGTCACATTCACTTTTAAAAACGAATCTAAACTAAACTTTTATCTTACCAGTTCAGGCCCACTGAGCTATAAAGTATTTTTTTCAGAAGCGACCTGGCAACAAATGTTAGCTCAGCGAAGTGGCTTATCACGTGGAAATGTTATAGCAGCCAAATACTCTAAACGCGTGGTTCTGAATGTGGAGGGAAAAACCGGAAGACCCGGAGAAAAATCCACGCGACTACGGGGAGAGAGACACGCACACTCTAAATATTCAGGCGTCAATGTCGGGATTGAACCCACGACCTCCTGCATACCAGTTAATATGTCGCCCCGTTACTCAATCAAATCTTGACCATGAAATGAAAAAAATGTATGGCAACTCTGGAGGAAGTTTTGACTATTTACAACCCCTAAATAGCGAGGACTCATCTGAAATACAGTACATCATCTTGACATCATAATACCCATGGTTAAATAAATAAACCAAGCCGCTGCATTTCAAGAATGCACCACCACACGCGGTTATTGCATTTGATCTCTAAATCATGTCTCAAACCCTGCAGCAACCCTGAAATCTGGCACTGATCCCTGCTGTGGCCTGAAGGCTGTGCTCTGGACCCCTACCGATTGCTCAAAGGTCAGCCACCCACAGCTTGTATTTCCCCCAGCTAATAACAGTTGCGTTGGGGTTTCTCTGCAAAGCAGCTGGGTGGGTTTGGAAAGACAAGGCAGAAATAAGCAGGGGCTTAGCTTCAGGCAGATTTAATCCGGGTTGGCGACCCCAGAAATTATTTACGAATTCGGAATACTGCATCGAGCATACTTCTCGCGAGATGGTTGCGGCTACTAGTCACGTGCCACATACTCCAGTTTACCAGTGGTTCGGAAAATACTCATGGAGAAACGAAGACTCCAGTGAACAATCAGACAACGATCTTTTGAAAATACCTCTTGCTAGCTACTAGTCACGTGAGTTTTCACGAGTCTGGATTGCCAGGCATGGTTAACATTAGTGACGCATGACATCTGGACAAATCCTGGGTAGGGATGGGACAGAAATAAAACATCGACCACTCAATATCTTTAAATAGAACATCAGTTTACATTAACAGAACATCAGTTTACATTAATATAACATTATTTAAGATTGATCGAACATTATTTTATTGTTTCCCTTCTACGTGACCTTACCGAAAGAACCAAGATTAACAGATCAGTTTACATTAACAGATTGCATTGATGTTTTCAACGGTTTTGTTTTACTATTTAAAGGAAGGAGTAATAGAAATATTCAAATGCAATGTTTATTATATCAAGAAAATCATGCATATTTCATCATTAAATTGGAAAATAATCGGAAGGTACAAGAAGGAACAAGAAGGCTGTTGTTGCAGGGTCAATACCTAACACAAACTTGCATTACTTTGGAGGATTTATCTTTTGAAAAAGAATGACATACTGTTTTATAAAATACACAATGGCCCAAGGCTTCTGTCAGAGGATCAACACTCAACCGCAATCTTAAGTCGGAAATTTCGACAAATGGAATGATTTATAGTATAGAAAAATATACAAAGGCGCAAGGCTGTTACAGCTGGGTCAACACTCAACCAAGAACAAGTTTTGGTTTAACCTACAGAATATTAACTTTAAACTTTAAACTTACTTTACTCCTACCACTGACGGTTGGAGAGAGACCTTGTAGAAGGCGGTTACTTTGTATGTTCCACACCAAAAATAGAAAGCTGAAATATTTCATGTAATTCGGCTTTTTGTTTGCTGCGTATAACATCCAAAGGGAAAAAAACGATGCTTCAATGTTATCGGAGGGATCAACATTGATGCACGTACGTTGAACTTATTTCGCACCATACGGAGCCAACTGTGCCAATCGGAGGTCAAAACATTGCAAGGCCGTCATAGCTAGGTGAAAATATCGATTTGTCAAAATATCGATGTTCCTGGTGTATCGATATTTTTTGGCCATCCCTATCCAAACTAATCCCGGACGCACCCGTGAGCAAACTTACACCGATTGTTGCAGAATAAGAACCGACATGGTGCATGGGAAGGCCGTCAAATCCCGCAGTGTACTTACGAAGGGCTGCAAATGATCATCATCTTTATGATTTACACGCACACGCCTGGAGAGGACATACACTGCGTACATGTGATTATACATACACAATATTATACATTATCGTAGTTGTTAAATTTATTGCGTCATTATATCGCGCGTGCCCAATCCGCAGCCACCACCATCGTCATCTCCATTCCCACGGAGGGTTGTAAGCCTCTGAATAATAATACCAAAATATATACGGCTCACTCATCAGAGGCCACCATGCACTGGCCGTCGCATCTCGATAAATTACTGCTGCAATGGCACGGGTCATTCATCATTGTTTTTATTTTTGCCGGTGCAACGCACCGATTTTTGAATAAACCTCTACGCAGCTATGCGCTACAACGTTGCATATCCGACCATCAAGGAGGCGAGAGATGTCATCTCCCTCGCCTGGTACGCAGGGGCTTGTGGGTTCGATCCCGGACACTGACGATGTGCCAGGTATCAATAACAAAAAACAAATCCGCAAACGAAGCCTCGAATGAAATTTACCAGGTTGACGAGACAAAGATTGACTTAAAAACAAATTACTCTCGACAATTGCCGGCGACAGTGTGAGGACGGAGAAATGACCTCCTCCTCCTCCTTCGAGAGAGAGAGAGAACGACACGTTCCACGGATCGTAACCCTGCGGAAGAGAACACGAAATAACCAGTGCCGGATCAAGCGGGTGCGGGGCCTGTAGAATATGTTATAAAGAGCCCCTAAACCGGAATTGATAGATTGAAAGCATTTAGCGCGGGGCCCTTGAAAGTGCGGGGCCCTTGAGAGCGCGGGGCCCTTGAGAGCGGGGGGCCCTTGAGAGCGGGGGGCCCTTGAGAGCGGGGGGCCCTTGAGAGCGGGGGGCCCTTGAGAGCGGGGGGCCCTTGAGAGCGGGGGGCCCTTGAGAGCGCGGGGCCCTTGAGAGCGGGGGGCCCTTGAGAGCGGGGGGCCCTTGAGAGCGCGGGGCCCTTGAGAGCGCGGGGCCCTTGAGAGCGCGGGGCCCTTGAGAGCGGGGGGCCCTTGAGAGCGCGGGGCCCTTGAGAGCGCGGGGCCCTTGAGAGCGGGGGGCCCTTGAGAGCGCGGGGCCCTTGAGAGAGGGGGCCCCTTGAGAGCGCGGGGCCCTTGAGAGCGGGGGGCCCTTGAAAGTGCGGGGCCCTTGAAAGTGCTACATATGTAGCTACTTTTGCTTCTAGGATAATTATCCGGCACTGGAATAACACCTTAGTCCACGCCATCCGCATGCTGGCTTCACAATAGCGGCGGTGGCGCGGCTGCCCGCAGAGACGCGGCGTGCTGATTGCGGAGCTGCCGGGGACAGCGGACGGGCTGCAGCTAATTAAGGTCTGAAAAAGGGAGGTGGCTTTTTTTTTGTTTGACCAATTTGCACAGAGCCCAGAGTGGCGCGGCGGGGTCGATTGACCTCGGGCTGGGTTTCTCTTTGAGATTTATGTATTTATTCCCCCCCCCAAATTTGTAAAAAATATACGTATAAAAATATATGAAACTAAAGATTTTGTTGTAAAAAAAATGTTTAAGGGCTCACTTTTCTTTTTTCGTCTCAATTTGTGGCGTTTATGCTCCAGGGTTGTCATCGTCGAGGGAACGACAGATTAATATCCATATATTTTTTGAAATCTCGCAAGGTGGCTTGCGTCATCGGTCACAATCATTGCACACACAACGCTTGGCCACAAATGAACCACACACAATGCCTCGCTGATCTCGTCACCATCGTCGCGAGATCTCCGGTCATCCTCGCGGCGGCGTGGCTGCTTTTGGTTTCGCTGTCGAACAAAGGCAGCGGTCACCGGCATCGCGTGCTTTCAGATGCGCTTCTACGGCCGTCTGGAACGCTCTTCCTTCCGATATTAGGACGCCACTGTACCTGTGCACTTTTAGATCATCATCTGGATTTAAAACGAATTTCTTTCGAACTGCTTCTTTGTGTTTAGTTTATTGTCCTTCCCCCGCGCCTCTAATTATCAGGGTTGGCTACTTACAGTGCGAATGAAGTTCAACATACAGTACATACATACGGATGGCTGCAGAAGAGACATGTGACGAGGCTTCCATGGAAAAATTCCCTCAAGTTGCCGGCTTGTCCCCTACGCAGTCTAAGCAGTTTGGAGCGCACTCTCCCATACGCTCGCCTATGAGATTGTCACGTGACACACAGATAATTTTACATTTGAACGCAACCTCATCCAAATCTAAGTGCAAAAAAACAAATATACCAATATGGTTGTTTTGTTATTGGAGCAGTCATTGGTGACTGACCTGACTGAGACCATCAACTCATTGCACTTGAGAAACCAGTTGAATCATAACCGAGTCCACGTGAGTCTATGTGTCTCTAAGCAATTAATTTGGTCTCTATGTAAATCATTGGTAGCCGGACTAAGACCATCAACTTATTACACTTGAGAGCTCAATCGAATCACAACTGAGCCTATGTGAGTCTATGTGAGTCTATGGGTCTCTATGCAATTCATTGGGTCTCTATGTAATTCATTGGGTCTCCACGTAAATCACTAGTCGCTGGGCTGAGACCATCAAATCGCTACACTAACCCGGTTTATTGATCAAGACGGCCGAAACCTGGATTTGAACCCAAGATATCTGCGATGTGGGCTCGACGCTCTTAGTAGCTGTGAGCCACCCGGCTGACTCTCACTGATTATTTATTTATTTCCATTCCGCATTTCTTTCTGCTGCGCAAGAGAGAGAGAGAAAAAGCGTCAGGCGCAGTTTGCGTTTGCAAACTCGGGTGCACACTTCATCTCCGATTCACGACGACAGACAATGCAAATGAATATTAATATCGCTTGTTATTCTTCTTATTATTATTAGTAGCATTATTTTCAGTTGCGCACACAGACATACGTGCTCGAAGGTTGCCTGCCCAGGACACGGTCCCCGTCTCTCTCGTTCATTAGCGCTGGGATATCTCTGCATTG